AAAAGAAAAGAAAATGTGTTCAAGGCATAGGTAGCAGTTTGGGGAAAGAGCCATCGAGATGTTTGTTTGAATCTAGGAATGTGTAACATTTAAGATAATATTTTACTTAAGCCTTGAAATCTGCCAGGTTGACAGATAAGCTGGAAGAAGGCATTTCAGGGGAAGAAGCAGCGCCGTGTGAAGTGATGGTAGAACATCCAGATGTGAACATTCAGCATTGGTTAGAATCAGGAGGGAGAGCTCCAGGCAGGAGGCATTTGAGCAGTGGTGATACTTGGAGCCTTGAAGGTGTGTGAGACCTGTAAAATAGAGAATCTTGAGGAAAACTTTTTAAGCTGTAGAAGAGGAAGAGGATGCAAATGAAGGACCTGGAGAAGTGGGAAGAGTCGGAATATTATGATGTGGAGGCCCAAGAAGAGAGATGTGAATGGTCAGTGGTGTCCATTGCTGCAGAGAGATATTTTATGCTATATGCATTTCCAGTCTTTGTTCTGTTTCTTGTTTAAAATTATTCCATAGTCTATGTGCAGTTTTATTTGCTGCCTTTTCAATAAGTGAATGAACTGTGATTTATTTTTTAATTTTGGGCATTTGGGCTTTTCTTTCCACTCTGAGGAAACAAATCAACCTGTAAAGAATTCAGGAGAATGCTTTATGAGAAAATGGATGCAGGGGTAAAATAAAATATTTAGAAAGTTAGCAGTGAGCTTACCAAACAAACAATGGTGGATTATTCATCTTTGTATTCTGGGCACTTAGATCAGTGATCAATAAGGAAGGAAAGAAGGGAGGAAGGAAGGAAAGAATTAAGAAATAGAGCAACAGATATTAGGATCAATTCTAGGGTTTTTTGATACTGTAGTGAAAACTGGGTATATGATACAAATTGTAGTTTGTTTAGCCTTGGAAAATAGAAGGGATACCTTTTCCTCTTTAAGACTGAGGGCAAGAAGCCATGGGTGTCGTGCAGATGTTTTCAAGATAAGAAAGAACAAGGAACCTCGGACCTGAGGAGACATCTCAGTACAGCAGTAGATGGTGCATTTCTGAGAGTGGAGGTAAGGAGGAAGTATAATTATAGGCTTAAGGAGAGTGAAAGCAAATTTTTAAATGTTCCTTTGAAAGGAGGAGAATGAGAAGAGCAGCAAGAGGTAAACAAAAGGATTGTTGAGCAGCAAGAGGACCTAGCTGGAGGCGGATAGGATGGTTGTAGAGGTTAGAAGTGGATTGTGGACTCATTGCTGTCTTAATGCTAGTAACTTAGATTGTAAGAATTTGGTTGGAAGGCCGTACTTTCCTCACAGAATACACTGTTTTTAGGAACTCTTAGACTCAGAGCTGAGAGGTGTATTTAAGTTCAATTCTTGATTAATAGAAAACAAAAATGTCCATGTATAATTACATCACCAGGATGAAGAGTAAGGGCTTACTATGTGCATTGTTTCATAAACCATAAAACGTATTAACCTCATACTTCCATTTTTAACAGTAAGAGGTAACTTACCTTCATTGATGAAAGTTACTGGTGGTATCTTGAAGGGACTTTTGGTGGGAGAAGTTCCCAGATCAGGTGGTGGCATTAAGTCTCTGGGATAACCTGGGTCCCTCTGTATCTCGTTCCCTCCCAGCAGTCCGGGAGTGTACTGATGACTGTTAGGAATGTGCTGCGGCACCACCTGGACGAGAGGGGGAGCCACATGGGGGTCTTGTCGGGAAAATATCTTCAAGCACTGTTCTTCCAGTGAGGTGATCATCACAGACTGGTTATTGACGAGATCAGTCAAGGAAGCATATTTTACCTCTAGTTCCCTGTACCTTGTTGCCATCTTCAACATTTCTGTAGTGACATTGAGGATTTTATTTTCCAGCTGGGAAAGTTCAAGTGAATTATCCCTCTTACGGATAATCTCATGTAGTAGTTGCATATAGAGTTGAGTAACACGCGAGTTCATGTTACGGCTTTCTTTTCTCAGCAGCTTTACCTCATTGACAATGTTTCCATCTACATCCACCACCAACTGCAGGACGTCTATCTCCCGCTTCTGCCTGGAGAGCACGTCCTTCAGGTTTTCAAGGTCCATCCTAGTGATCATGTCTTTAATGGTACTTGCATCTTGCCCTTTGGTATTGACACAAATCGGCCCTGTAATTTTTTGTTCAGGTACCAGGAATGTGTATGCACATTTCTTTACTTCCTCTTTACCGTCTGTGGCACGAGGGTATCTCCTCTGGGTTATTTTTTTTATTTTGAACTGGCCGCCTCTGCAGTGTCCAGTGCCCATTAGTAGGAAGAATAGCACACTTAGGATCCAGATAAAAGCTTTCATTTTGAAATGAGGTTGTATGAAGTCTTTTGGAAAACAAACCAATGAAAACATAAATAAATAAGCAAATAAATTAAAAAAGTAGAATAATAAACATGAGCAAAACCCAGGATGTGTCATCTTGCAGTCAAGATGATATTGTTATTAGCTAGTTGTATTATATTGGTGTTAGGAATAATTGTTTATATTTGAGGTGCTCCATTAAAAAATAAACAAAAACTAATAAAACCAGTGTGCTCCAACAGAATTTTCAGCCATGTGGATTACATTGCCTGCACTTTCTAATTTATCGAAAATTGTTAAATATACTATTTCCTTTTAGAATTTTAAAATGTATTACTGGAAAACTACATTAAAGTTCATGTCTTTTCTTAAGTAAAAGAATAATGAAGGGAAAAAGTAAAAAATTCATTTTAACCTAATTTTAAAGTTAATAATATATTAAAAAAAGGCAGGGGGAGAACTGGGTATCTATTGGTGTTACTAAATTGGGCCAGAATTAACGTTACTGATTTGTTAAATTCAACACCATGATGCCTTTGCATTTGTTTAAAATTCAGGTTTCAGAGAATAGCTCTCCAACTACCACCTCATTGTAATGCTTTTTGTTCCTCAGCTCAGTGCCCACTGTGTGCAAAGGCAAAGGGTTAGTGTTCTTGGGTGCTTTGAGACCCTAATAAGACACTTTTCTTACCCTTGAAAAGTTTACTCACTGTCTTAAGACTCTGAAAATGATACACAGTGTTTGTAAAGCATTGATTAAAACATTCTTCCCTAACTAGTATTAAATATTCTGTTTATTTTTTTAAGATTTTATTTATTTGAGAGAGTGAGTGAGAAAGAGAGAGAGCACAAACGGGGAGGCAGGCAGAGGGAGAAGCAGGCTCCCCGCTGAGCAAGGAGCCCGATGTGGGACTCGATCCCAGGACCCTGAGCTCATGACCTGAGCCGAAGGCAGATGCTTAACCAGCTGAGCCACCTAGGCGCCCCTCTTCCCTAACTAGTATTAAAGTTAATAGGAGGTGACTTTATTAGCTATTATTTTATATTTATATTATCTGTTTTTAATTAAATTGGCCCTCTATAATAAATATCTTTTTTATCTATCTAATTAAAGACACATTCTTAGATCTCAAACCAGCAAGTTTTGGGATCATATTTTTTGTTTTTGTAGTGTGTCCTTTTGGGATTAGTGACAAGTTTAAGAATGAGAGAATGTTTACAGTCATTTTTGTGGGTAATTGTGTTTTCTAAACCATAATCATGTAAATGCTCTAAGCTTATGTATGATTTAGCAGGTTCACTCATTTTTTTTTAGCAGTTTCATTCTTCTAACAGAGATTCTACCGAACTGTATTGTAGTACAATTTCAATAGTTTTCTGTAACCATTACCAAGGAAAGAAACTCTCTGTAATTGAATATGATTGTTAGAGTTGGAAAGTGCTTTAGAGAACCTCTTTGCACCCAGGTGCCTGTTGAAAGCCAGGGCCACGCAAGTCGGCAGGATTAGAACCAGGTCAGGAATTCAGGTTCCCCGGCTCCTCAGTCAGCGTGGACAGCAGTGGTACGTCTTGCTGGCATGTGCGCTTGGAGTGTTTTTTTTGCTGTGACAGAGAGACCCCTGTCCCTCACTGTACAATTTCTGTAGAAACACCAGTACTCGCTCTAAGAACCAAAGCTGCTTCCTTTCTCACAAGTTACCTCCCTCAGGAGTAGTAGCAGTAGAAAACAGGTAAGACGTGCCACTCCCTCAGCTGCACAAGCAGGCTGCTGGAGCACGTGACCCACCTTCCCCCTCTGATAAACTGCATGCCTGTTCTGTTTTTGAAGGATGGCAGTGGATACACTAAGAACTCTTCTGTCCCACTTTCCACCCAAGTTCTTGTTTTTTTGGTTTGAGAAGATGGGTTCCAAGTTGTTTATGCCTACAACTAATAATAGCAGTGTAGTCATAACAGTAGTTCATACTTACTGGGTGCTTGGCCTTGTTTGAAGCCCCTTTGCATGTATTAAGTCAATTGCTTGTAACTACAGCCCTTTGAGGTAGATTACTACAGTCCTCATTTTCAGTGAAGGACTGGCATCCAGAAATTTAAGTACCTTACCCAGAGAGTCACACAGCTTCTGAGAGGTGGAGCCAGAATTTGAACCTAGGCAAAAGACTCCAGAGTTGATGTTTTTCTTTTTCATTAACCACTACAGCATATGGCAACATATTCTGTCCTGTTTTCTATCACCAATAGCATAACAATCCCTTACATGAATGTAGTGCTTAATGCATGTTAACTATTTGCATTCACAACAACACTGTGAAAGAAAATACTCTTTTTACAAAAAAATAAAGTCCCAGAGAAGCCAAAATTAGCACTCAGATTGGATTCAATTCTTCTACTCCTAACTTTTCCAGACCTGTGATTTTTTTATCCTAGTCATGCTGTAACTGTGGAGGAGCCCTAACTTTGTGCTGCTTGTTTTTCAGTCTTTTCCTGGTTTGTAGGTCGTTACATGGACCCATTACTTATTTTTGAAAAGGTATTTGTGAATCGTTTTTGTTAGGCTCTGATTCCATCATTTTTCAGTCCCAAACTTTTCTGCTGTCATTCCTTTCGCCCTGTATGTATTGTATCAGTTGATAGCTACATATCTAACTTGTGATTAGGAACCCTCCCAAAAAATAAAGGTTCTTAAGATCCATGAAATATGGACTTTTTAACATAGTCATAAAGATGACTGCTACTTTTTAAAACCATGTCTCCTTTGGTGTTTTCAAATAAATGGTGTTTTCAAAGTGGACTGATAATGAAAATAAAGCAAAGAGTGAATGGGGTATGGAAAATTATTTTTCTCTCACTAACATAATCAAGAGAGGAGGAATGAGCACAATAGTATTCCATATTTATATCAGAGGCCTTCTGTTCCTTACTGATAAACAAAAGCACACTTGGATGAGTACTTTTAGTTTTTTGTTTTTATGTTTTGTCTCTGATGTCAAGAGAAAATTTAGACCTTAAGGTCATCTATTTTGTAAGAAAAGGACTTATTGTACTAGAGTTACCAATAAAAGATTCTTGTTATATTTGCAGATTCATGGGATTTAGGTATGGTTTATTTTTAAAACTGGGACGGTAAAATGTACAGTATTTCCCCTACCTAGTGAACTTACTAGTCCTCAGATTCACTCATTTCACTTTAATAATAGAATGGAAATTCTTAGATCATAAAATTATTTAAATCTATGAGATAAGTTACCAAAACAAGGGAAATTCAGCAGCTGTCATGAAACTTCAAGTAGGATTTCATGAACAATATTCTGATTGGAATAGCTTGTATTCCTACCAGACACAGATTTGTATAGGACAACTAAGAACATATAATCCAAGACTGTTATTGTGACTTTACATCAGTGTTTGTCATGAAAGAACAGAGATGTGAAATTAAAATAGCAATAGCTTCACTTTGGTGTGTTCTGCCTTGGCTCTTTGTGGGCTCCTATACGATTAAATTGTAAGATAAATCATTGTGTACCATAAGAGAATCTGACCTAAATATTCAAAGGAGGCAACTAAACGTTTGTTCTTAAATAAATATAATTCCTTTGACCTTATAAAAGTAATGACTTTGTTGTCACCTAAAGAAGAATAAGGAGCCACATTTCTGAAGTAGTAGACTAGCTACGTCATGAGTAAGAACTGGTTTTAAAAATACATTTACTGTTACATTCTCTGAAAACATTCTCTTATTTAATATTTTCCCACCACGTTCTGTTTTAAAAGTGCAAGATCTATAAATCTGTGTTACCTCATAAAACCTTTCTGTATATGTTAAAACTTTCCTAGGTCCCAAGAGAATGTTATAAATTAGTTACAGTATACTTAAGTTTAAATCTGTGTCTTTGCTTGGTTGTTTTTAGAAGAAAAAAGGAAAAAAGAAAAAAAGTTGTCCGTGCTTTGGGTTAATTTTATTGGTACTATTTCTCTTCATAGTTGCTAACACTGCCAGCTAGTAGAGAGAAGAAATAAAAATTAGGAGTTACTTCCTTTCCGATGGTAAATGCATAGAGACATTTAACTGACTATGTCGTGCACTGAAAACAGCATGAGGCAATGACCCTAAATTTATGAAGCATTGAAGATGCCTTAGATACTTCTAGATTGTAATTATGCTCTGGGAAAAGACTTGAGAACAGTCTCACCCCCTCTGAAGGAAGGGATAGGAGTTATCTGTGTGTTTGGGGTTTCAGATTCAGGGCTTGCCTAAGGCTTCAGTAAGAACCGAGGTTTAACGAGATCCTGCACTTTTCACAGCAAGCAGCAGCGGAAAAGAGAGAAATGGTAGAATTGCTTGGACAATTTATCAGTTTCTTTAAATATGTTTAACAGAGATCCTCCCAGGATTTAGAGTTTGAATCTTTAAGGAAAAGACATGAATGTAAAGTTGAAGAAATCTGAGCTCTACAATTATTTGCTTGTTGAAGATTCTTACCATTCAGTGTCTTTAGTTTTTAAAAGAACAGAGGATCCCCAAATCATAAAACACTTAAGTGTCTTTGGTGTTTAACTAGTAATTTTATTTTTAAAAGTTTTCATAATACAGTTAAAGTAGAGCAGTGAAAGAAACCTCTTGTATGATTACCAAAATTATGTCTGTCTAAAAATATTATATATTTTTGGTCTTTTAATCATGTATTTAAGTAATTGTATCTTCTGGGTTCTTATTTTCTACTTTACTGCTGACTGCTTACATAATATTTCTGTCACATTTTATTTTTTTCCTTAGTCCTAATCTGTAAAGTTTTAGGGTTTTTTTTTTTAATGTATCAATAACTTTGCTTTCTTAAGTAATTCTAGGTATAGCAGTTTTAATTTCTGTTACCCAAGTTAAATAACTTACATGTAAACCTGGAAAGTTATTTAAAATCTTGAGTTTTTGCAAGAAATACCACAGATATAGCTTAAATCTTTACAAAAATTTCTGCTTAATATTTGGTTATACTATAATTGAGGAATTGTTGCAAAGCCATTCAGTTAATTTTATATCTTTTTTAGCTGTGTTTTGTAGCTGTACTTTAAGATCTCGAACAGTATACGTGACCTGCCAACACACACACACACACTGGAATTGTGTGGAGAGAAACTCATGTTTACAGCTCTTTTCTTTTGTTTGTAACCCTTTGTTTTTAATCACTGTGTTATAAACCTTACACATTTAATCTGTTACTTGTTAAAATTTCTAGGGTCACTAAAGCACTTATTTTCTGAAACCTAACATGTATGTACCAATGTATAAGCATATATACCAAATATTACTAAATTGAACCTCAAATCATGCATTAATCATCACAAAATACATAATGATCAGTTTTTCACATAGAGGTGCAAAAGAAAAAAAACCTTTTTCAACTAAAATAAATTGTAGTATATTTTTAAATTCTTTGTTTAATAAAAGATTTTGAAATTCCTACAAATGTAAAATTTTGAACATACACAGAATTTTAAAGAAAAATAAAAGAAATATTAAAATACCTTTATGCATCTGTTGATAAAGCAGACCCAGAAACTTGCTGCTCTTATTCTTGCTTTTAAAAAATCAGTGTAGAAGTTTGTTCATCTGTGACTTTAATGGCAATTGCATTTTTGTTTTGGACCGTCAAATCCAAGCAGTAATAAGGACCTTCTTTTTCTTCTTACAACACTAATCAATTGAACTTGACAAGCCACCTATGTAATTTTAAGTAGTATAGTGGAAGTTCTGGTCTGTGGGCTGTCTTTAATCCGGCAGAGAAAGCATTGTGGCTTTGCTCTGACTGCCACATGGAGAAGTGCAGTAACCAGCTGCAGCTGACCCAGATTGTATATACAGCACCCTTGAATAGTGATTCCCTCTTTCTCGGTAAACTCAAGTTCAGCCCACATATTACGTCACCAAAAAATTGCTGGAGACTAGGGGGGAAAATCTCCTCCTTAGGATTTCCTCTCCGTAGCCTTAAATAGGGGTGGGGGTAGTGGGATCAGCAGGAGGCTGAATAGCTCTGAACAAGGAGAGACTGTGTGCAGGTTGAAGGAAGGGCACCATCTGGAAACAAACTATCATAGTTCAGCGGGCAATTATAAAACAAACATTTTAGTCTGCTGGCCAGAGATCTTTTAACTTGAATACTGAAAAAAATAGTACTCAACTTCTCAGAAATAGTAACAGGCTGATAAGGTTTTTTTTGTTACAAAGAACAAGAGTTAGACTTTGTCAGGAGGCAGCCACCTAAATAATGTAATACTCTTTTTAGTGTAGAAGAATTTTTATTTTTTTATTTTTATTTATTTATTTTTTAAAGATTTTATTTATTTGACAGAGCACAAGCAGAGGGAGAGAGAGGCAGAAGCAGGCTCCCTGCTGAGCGAGGAGCCCGATGCGGGACTCAATCCCAGGGCCCTGGGACCATGACCCGGGCTGAAGGCAGCCACTTAACCAACTGAGCCCCCCAGGCGTCCCAGTGTAGAAGAATTTTTAAATGTTTTACTAAGTTGCCATTTCAGAAGGTTTTAAACAGATGTAACTTGATGTTGTGATATATCTTACTCTGTAATGTCTCTTAAGATAAAACTGTTCATATATATAATTACTAAAAATAAATGGAAATCTATATATAAAATTCAGAAATGTAATACTTTAAAAAATTCTGATGTTATATAATGTCACTTCCTCCTATTCTAAAAACATGACCCCTCTTGTCTGAATAAGGTTATTCTTAGTAGTTGATGTTTTGAGATTTAAAAGCAAACATAACCCTGGCCTGAAAAAAGAGAGATCTGCCTCCCCACTGGCTATGTGGATTTAGAAAAGTCTAGAGAGAGAATTAGTAACTGTTCAGTACTAACTGTGCTATTATATTTCATTAAACCCAGAAATGTTGATTAAGTAACTCAATAGCTAATGAAACAAAAATTGGGGCATCTTAACTGATTTGATACTTCACTACTAAGTAGTAGAACTAGGGTTTGAATCTAATTCCAAAGCATTATGCCACTGTCTCTCCTTGGGTTCTGTAATTACTGATTGCTGCTCCTAGGTAAAATTTGGGGAGCTTCTAATTCACGTTGTGCTTTCCCCTCCTTGTTGCCTTAGCTGTTTTTTCTTTCTGATAGATTCTACCATTGTCCCTTTGTTGATCAACACTCTTTATTTAAAGCCCAGTTTCAACCTCTTTCACAGAATCATTTTTTTAAATTCTGTGATATATGTAAGTATACCAGGGGTTGCAAACTCAAGGGCTACAACGACAAATGCTCACAAGAACAAGGGAGGTAATGTTAAGTAAGTGAAATAAACCTGAAGTAAGATAGCAAAGGAAAATGAGAGTTAGGACAAACTGGCATCCTTAAGGTTAATACAGTGGGATCTGCACCCTTCTCAGCTGTACTTCATTGTTGCCAGATCTCCCCATTTTTTAGGAAGAGAAAGTCACTTAGATATTTCCTATGATATTTCCTGGTTTTAGAAACATTGGGACAGGGGCGCCTGGGTGGCTCAGTCGGTTAAGCGGCTGCCTTCGGCTCAGGTCATGTTACCAGGGTCCTGGGAGCGAGCCCCACATAGGGCTCCCTGCTCGGCAGGAAGCCTGCTTCTCCCTTTGCCTGCTTTTACCCCTGCTTATGCTTCTTCTCTGTCTCTCTCTCTCGCTCTCTCTGTCAAATGAATAAATAAAATCTTAAAAAAAAAAACATTGGGACAGATGGAATGCCAGCTTTTGGCTTCTGGTATGTGTTATGTAATACATTACTTGATCATTTAGTATTACTTGATCCTCTTGTATTCACTCTTGTATTCACTTGTATTCACTAATAGCTTAATCTGGGGGGAAAATACAAGATAGTAGTTTTCTCCTAAGCTTTTTTACTTGAGTGGTTTTGAACTTTCTAATTTTAACAATTAGTAATATCACTAACCAAGGTAAGAAGTTGGGATGTAAGGTGTTTTGAGACTAATAATGATTAGTTTGGCATGTTAAATTGAAAATTAAAGTTAAGATTTCAGTTCTAAAGAGAGACTTGGAAAGTCATCGGCAATTAGGTGATGGTTGAGGCTACAGAAATAAGATAATCCAGAAAAAGTACATGCAGAGTGAGATTAATGGTAGAATCATGGAGAACACCAACTTCTAGGGAACGTGAGGAAAAAGGAGAATGGAGGGGGTGTGGGAAGGTCGGAAGGTTCAAGCCAATAGAGCTGGTAAAGCCCCAAGGAACAAAGGGAATGATAAAAAATACTGCTGAGACACTAATAAGCAGCAGGAGGAGACCAAGAGAGATGTTTAAAGATTTAATAATGGGACACCTGGGTGGCTCAGTCATTTAAGACATTAGGACAGGGGTGCCTGGGTGGCGCAGTCAGTTAAGCACCTGCCTTCAGCTCAGGTCATGATCCCAGGGTACTGGGATAGAGCCCCGCATCGGGCTCCCTGCTTAGTGGAGAGTCTGCTTTTCCCTCTCTCTCTGCCACTCTCCCTGCTCATTCTCTCTCTCTGTTGAATAAATAAATAAAATCTTTAAAAAATAAATAAGTAAAGATTTAATAATGAACAGGTCCCTCATACCTTTGCTAGAATAAGTTTCAGCAGCAAGATGCAGATTTCAGACTATATATTTTTTTTAAAGATTTTATTCATCTATTTGAGAGAGAGTGCACAAGCAGAGGGAGGGGCAGAGGCAGAGGGATAAGCCTGATGTGGGACTCGATCTCAGGACCCTGGAGTCATGAACTGAGCTGAAGGCAGGCGCTCAACCGACTGAGCCACTCAGGCACCCCAAATTTCAAACTATATAGTGGGTTGAAAAGTGGATAAAATTTAACTGCCAAGTGGATCGGTTTCTGCAATATATTAAGAACTTAGAAATCAATAAGAAAGAGACAACTCAGGGAAAAAATGGATAAAAGACATTTCATAGAAATATAAATGCATAACCTCATTACCAGTCAAGGAAATGAAACTTAAAACACAATATTATTTTATACCTCAAGATTGGCAAAAGTCAAGAAGACTGATATATCAAGTGTAGCACAAGTGTGGATCAGGAGAAACTTACATGCTATCAGTGGCAGTGTGAGTTGATAAAGCTTTAAAAAACAATGTAAAGTTGAACATTAATATACCATATAAATGCCATATATATCTATCTATCTATCTATCTCCTAGGGAAATTCTTTTATATGTATCCCAGGAGATAATTTGTAAGAATGTCAATAGCAACATGGAGGGAGGGAAGAAGTAACTTAAAAGTCTGTCAAATGAGTAAGTAAATTGTGATACAGTTACATGTTAAGTTATTCTCAATATAAGGAATTACAGCTGATTTAACAATACAAATAACTCCTGGAAACAAAATGGTGAGACACAGCAATCACAGAAGGCCATATTTTTAAAAATTTAACAAACACCTATAAATTACTTATTGTGTACCTATGTTTACTGATGTTATCATTGAATTTAATCACACATGTATAAAATGTGATTTTTTTTAAAGCTTAAAAATAAGCAAGAGTAAATACATTGTACATATGTCTTGAAAAAAAAAGGAATAATCTTAAGTTTTGGAATAATGGTTAGTTACCTCTGGATGGGAGGCAGGGAGATGATACAGGAGACAAACAGTACTAGTGATGTACTTCTTAACTTACCTGGTCATTCACCAGTATTTATTATATTGTTTGATAACAGCCAATATTACATGGGTTAGAGTATACTTTTTTAAATGGTAAAATCATGATTCTTACACAAATACAAAATGAATACATGTCACGGTTTTATTTAAATCATTAAATTTATAAGGGAATCAGGAAGATACTGCAACCATTTCAGGAGAGAATTCAAAGTACCACACATACCAGATAGGCACTAAAGAATGCTAAAATGAATTCACACAGAGTTGCAACACTGGTCAGCTTCCATAGAGCATTATTAGATTTTACTGGACATAAGGCATTGGCATTTTTATGGACAGGAATTTGTATTATTACTAGTTTTCAAAAACTTACTGAGTTGTCAAATAGCTCAAAAAGCCCAGAAGACAGGACACCTGGTAATTTTTTTTGCCTATTTCAGAGTCTATCGTAATTTTTCCTGACACATGTACACTTTTATATGTGTCATATCTCATTAAAAAGAGATGAAGGATAAGGTAAGTTAAGTGGACTCGTCTTGTTTCTCTTTCAAGGTGTTTGGGTTTTTTAATTTAATTTTATTTTATTATGTTAGTCACCATACAATATCAAGGTGTTTGTTACAGAGAGAGGGGCAGGGGTCCTCTCTGGAGGAGGGATTCAGATTTGAACAGAGGGTTACCTTGATTTTGTTTTCTTCAGGAGAGGTGTAAAGGTTTGCATTGGCTCCAGGAGGGGAGCCCCTGGCGGGTGAGACAGGGGGGCTAACAGCAGGGGCTGTAAAGGAGGCTGTTGGGATTACATTCAAAGTCACAGTGTGTATTTGGAGAGGAGAAAGGGATTCTTCCTGCTCTGAGATTGAAGGAAAAGCAGCTAAGCTAAAGGTTCATTTGAAGTCATATAAAAAAGAAGTTGAGAGTCTTTAAAGAAAAGGAAGTATTTATGATAGATGGTTTAGAGAATACCGTTAAGATTTCCTGAATGGAAAAGGAATGAGTAAGATGAGGAAAAGGATTTTTAGGTTGTTTTAACCACCTATTGTCAAAACACTGCACAGATTTTCATTTTCTTGGAGTGCAAAATAGAGCAACTACCTTAAATGAGTTTATAGTCATGAACAGATAAGATACAAGTACGAGAGTTTAAACATTTATATAAAGTCATAAAAATTACCAAGTAAATGGTACTATAGATACTGTATGAATTTATAACAGCATGTAGTAGAGAAACGAGGGCACAGGTGTACACTCTGAGCTCCAGCTCTATTACTAACAGTTCATAGCATTATCCTTTAATATCTGTGGACCTCAGATTCTTCACCTATAAAAAGAGGGGGTTAGACTAGACAGTTTCTAAATTCCTCTCTTGGAATCTGTGAGAAAACTAAAGAACAGTTGACACTGACCTGGATATAAAATATAATTGAGATGGACAGATGAGTCTCAGAAACAGTCAAGATGAAAGAAATGGCATGAGAAAAAAAAAACATAGGGCTTTTGTGGAAGGCGGTGTATATGGTACAGCAGTTGTGTTTTGTTTTTTTTTTTAAGAGTTCATGAATGTGGGGTAATGAGGTAAAAAGTAGGAAAGTATATTTTTCTCTTTAACTGTAGTTGTCTTATACACTTCACATGTGTGGCCTTGCATATCTAGAACTGGTAGTACCAAGTTATTTTGGAGGTTATGTTATTTTTGTTGGTACAGAGAAATGGGGCAGTGGGGTCGAGGCGGGAGGAATAGTTAACTTCAATTTGTAGTCACATACACGGTTTCAGAAATTTACCTGTCAAGTCTTCAAAACAAGACAGTATACAAACACTTCAATGCCATGTGAACTGTCCTAAAGCTAATCAGAGGTGCCTGGCTGGATCAGTCGGTAGAGCACGTGACTCTCAGGGTTGTGAGTTCGAGCCCCCACGTTGGGTGTAGAGATCATAAATAAATAAACTTTAAAATATAAATAAATAAAAACAAAATGGAATCATAAGAGAACATTTACAAAAACATTATTTACATGTCTGACCCCAGATCCACGGAATTCTAGGCCTCAGTGATTATGTTTTAATAAGGCTGTGGTGTATTAAATAACAATAAATCCTAAATACAGCATATATTAAAATACAGCTATAAATTAGCTTTTTTTCTTCTTCATTTTATCATACTCTTTCAAACTACAAGTAAAAAACACTCATTTATCTCATTTTGTTTCAGGTATCTATTTGTCAGATTTAACATACATTGATTCAGCATACCCATCAACTGGCAGCATTCTAGAAAATGAGCAAAGATCAAATTTGATGAATAACATCCTTCGAATAATTTCTGATTTACAGCAGTCCTGTGACTATGGTACGTTTCTGGGGAGTAATACTACACCATTACGCTGTGATTCTGTTGATTCATTTAGCTGAATTGATAGCCATTTTTCACACAGCAGGGAACATCATCCTAATATAAAGGAAAATATGATTGTTTAATATTTAGCCTCCTGTTTGAGATCTTGCTTTTAAGGAATTAAAGTATGTCTATATTTAAAATTTTAAGTTTTATCTTTTGCTTTTTGTAGCCACTTTGCTAACATAATTTATAAAATTATTTTCTGTTATCTTCCATCTCACTTGATATCCCTGATCTGTTATGTGAATAGTTCTTATATTATTCAGTTAGGGAAGGAGCTAAGACCTGTGATCCTTGTAACAACTGACTAGCTTTCTTCGGTTCATTATTGAATAAATAACCAATTTTTTGTTCAAGGGGTATTTTATGGAAACACATATGTAGAAAGTGCTTACACAAGCCCAGATGATGAGCAAAGGGGATGCATTTTTTTTTTAAATGTTTTATAATGTTTGAATGCTTTCAGTTTGAAAGGGAATAAAGATACCCTTATTGGTATATACTTTTAAACAGTGAGTTTACATTATCCAATTTATTTAAAATAGATTTGTCTTGGGGCGCCTGGGTGGCTCAGTTGTTAAGCGTCTGCCTTCGGCTCAGGTTACGACCCCAGGGTGCTGGGATCGAGCCCCACATAGGGCTCCCTGCTCTGCGGGAAGCCTGCTTCTCCCTCTCCCTCTGCCCCTGCTTGTTTTCCCTCTCTCGCTGTCTCTCTCTCTGGGTCAAATAAATAAATAAAATATTTTTTAAAAATAGATTTGTCTTAAAGCTATTTTATGTGCGTGTATACTTTTAAGAAAGCCTTAAAAACTTCCTAAAAGTGGGGGGGGGGGGGCAGAGAGGAAGTTTATCAGATATGTGGGATTTTGTAAATGGAGCTGTTTGATTTTTTTTTTTTTTAAATATATGATCTGAAGAGAAACCAGAGTATGTTTGATGGTGGTGTTTTTTTTTTTAATCTATACAACCAACATGCAACTGTAATTTTTTAAATTACCATCAGTTTTACATTAAATAAAATCTACCTCAATAGTGTCCTTCTAGAGTTAATTTAAATTTTGGTGCCATGCTTTAAAATTCTGGTTAAAGATATACTGTGTCAGATAATTATTTATCACATTTTGCCTAGATATCCCCATGTTGCCTCATGTCCAAAAATATCTGAACTCTGTTCAGTATATAGAAGAACTACAGAAGTTTGTGGAAGATGATAATTACAAGTAGGTTGGATCTTCAAAAGTGGTTTGTTTAACTGTCCTGTCTTCTACCCTTTTGTCCCCATGTGTTTAAACATTTGAATTTTACATCATATCATGCAAATGCCTAATCCAGGTATATGTTTACAGTGGTTAAAGTATTTGTATTTCTTTTTATTTTTTTATGTATTTCTTTTTAATCACTTGATATGATTGAGACAATATACAAATACCTCATCTGTTCTTTTGTTTAAAAATATTTCACTTTTCTCAAGTTGTTGAGAGCTGATGTTAGATCTAGTATAAATGTCTTCCTTTATATTCAAACATTGAATCTTTATGGAAATTCATAATTGAAAAATTAATGAAACTGTCTACAAATAGGAAATTACTCCTTTTGTAATGGTAATTTTGACACATCTTTGAATTTGTTTTTAATTGTTTTTGTGGATTGAGAGAATATTGAACCTTCTTACCTCTAGGGTAGAGACATGTCCAGCACCACACTTACCCTTTTCTCTATTATAGCAAGTCCTTTATTAAAGATTTTAAAAATCACTTTAAATTAAAAAAAAAAAATTTAAATCACTTTTAAAATACAGCTGCCCATTTCCTTCTCCTTGACATCCACAATTCTGCCCAAGGTGGGAAGGATTTTTAAGTTTTTACCCTTTTTATTTTCAATGGTATACTGTACATCTTAACTGCAGGGGGTTTTTTTGTTTTTTGTTTTTGTTTTGTTTCTGGTTTTTTTGTTGTTTTGTTTTTTTTTTCAAAAGATGGGAGGATAAAGCTCTTATTTCTCTTGAGGCTTCTGATGCTTCTTGTGACTTCATTTGTTAATTTCCAATAAAAAATATTTTTGCTTAGCTTTATTATGCCAGTTATTCCCAAGCTTTCAAATTTAACTTTGTGTCTTTCACGAATATTTTTTTCTAATAAAAGGAACATACACATACTTAACGTTAAGAACTTTTCAAAGTGAGGGGCGCCTGGGTGGCTCACTTGGTTGAGCATCTGCCTTTGGCTCTGGTCCTGATCCCAGGGTTCTGGGATCGAGTTCCACATCGGGCTCCCTGCTAAATGGGAAGCCTCCTTCTTTCTCTCCCTCTGCCTCTCCCCCTGCTTGTGCTTTCTCTCTCTGTCAAATAAATAAATAAAATCTTAAAAAAATTTAAAAAGCTTTAAAAAAAACTTAAAGTGAGAGACTAGATTATTTTTCTTGTATGCTAGTGATCATCAACCTTCTTGTTCCATTTAAGTTTCAACAGTTTTTGAAGAATAAAGCTAGTACCAGTAAAAGGCTAGAAATTCTGGAAAATAACTAGAAATAACTTTTCTTTAAAGATTAAAGCTCTAGATAATATATATTAAATGTATCTAAAATTTTATTAATGTTTAAAAACACCTTTATTGGGGCACCTAGGTGGCTCATTAGGCATCTGCCTTCGACTTAGGTCATGATCCCAGGGTCCTGGGATTGGGTCCCGCATCGGGCTCCCTGCTCAGGGGGGAGTCTGCTTCTCCCTCTACCTCTGCTCCCCCTGCTTGTGTGCACTCTCTCTCTCTCTTTCTAATAGATAAATAAAAATCTTTTTAAAAATAAAAATAAAAACACCTTTATTGCCATCTTTTTCCCCACACCATAATATTGCCACTTTATATTTCTCTATCAGTTTTTATTATATAAAAGGTTGTTACATAGTAGTTCATTTGAAAATGTATGAGCTTTTTAAGGCTGCAGTTTTTTCATAAATCTGTTGTTGCCCTAGGTTATGAGCTTCCTGAGTTTGATGGTCTGTATCTTATATTTACCACTATTTCTTCCATCTAAGCTCTAATCACTGACATAGCACAAAACTCTCATGTTTTGTCCAGTGAGATACAGAAGATTATCTTAAAACTTAAAATATGATTGAGTAGGTAAAAATTTCTATATCTGGCTCAAACTTGTTGGATTTAAAAGAAGTTAAACTATTCAATAGAAGTGAAGCCTAAGAAATTGTTGCACAGTTATAGAGGATGGTAAATTTTTATTGACTGTGGTGAAAGTAAAAGTATTTATTTGAGCTAATTTTTACTTTGCTAAAAGGATATAGTAGCCAATTAAGCCATTAAGTCGTTTTAACTGTCTGTAAACCGATGTAAGATACCTTCATTTTTGAAGGAAAGCTGATGCTGTTGTACTGATTTTTGTTTTCATGAGTGGCTAGAACCAGAATAGCCTTCCCATTATATTCATTTTAACAAATACTTACTAAGCTTTTGCCATAGGTGAGTTATTGTGCTAGGTGCCAGGATTACAAAAACAAAATCTTGTTCTTGCCCTTAAGAAGCTCAGTCTCATACAAAACACAGCCACAAAACAGATGATGACAAAGCAGTTCAAACATTACTGTGATATATGAGATATGCCCAGGATGCTGTAGGAACGTAGATCTGGGGGGAGACCTAACTCAGCTTTAAGTGGGAAAAATGAGGAAAAAAGAAACATGAATGGCTTCAGGAGACAGTGTCACCTGAGCTTATTAATCTTAACAGGTGAGTCAAGGAGATATCTCCGCATAGAGGGTGAGGAAAAGTGTTCCAGGGGGTGGAATGATCCAAGGATTAGGGTGGGAAGCAGTGTTTTTGATTGGGGGAACATAAGTCATTTGGTGGTGTTGGGACATCAGATGGGAGACTGAAGAAGACAGTTTTTAAAGATGCAGTTGTGTTGCATGAACCTATTCAGTGTGCTGAGAATCATCATTTTAAGATAAAAGCTATTAAAATGATTAGAAAAAATGGTTTTTATGATGAGAGAGATTTAAATAAAAATGACACTGTCTATCCCAAGGTCTCTGTTTTTTTTGGCAGCTTCATCTATATAGGCAACCAGTATAGACACTACAAATGAATGCGTGTTTTTTAATCAGGATGAAAATCTTTCACAGTTCCTTCCCTTTAATCCTGAACATCATCTTTTTCTCAGTGAACCAGCATCACTGTTACTGAATGGTGTTTTGATGATGACATAGGCAGCCAACCTCTGACTTCACTGCTGTGCTTTAAGATGCTTCTGCTTTTTATACCACTGACGGCAGTGTGATGCACCCAGAGCTTCCTTTCTGTTCCTTTCTATTGCAGTTCTGATTAAGAAATTGTAGTTATTTTGTTTACTTCTGTGTCCTCCACATACTAAACTGTAAGCCTCAGAAGGGCAGGGATACCATGTCTGCCTTAGTCTCTGTTCTATTCCAGTGCAAAGAGCACAGTACAAAGAGTACAGTGCCCAACACAAAACAGGTGTTCAGTAACTCTTTATCAAGTGAATGAATTCAGTATGGTCTGTAGCCCAAAGTACTAAAGTAAACTGCTCTGTAGAAAGAAAAAGAGCAGAGTTCTAGTTCATCATATATCCGTTCAGTACTGCATTTTACACTGCCAAATAATTGGAATATAATCGTATAGAATCCCCTATGAGGTTATCAAGGAAATAAGTTGAGAACCTATAATAGATTTATCATGATGAATATCACTTGTATTGTGCAATTTCATTAAAAAACCCCAGTTGGTAGAATGCTTTCTTAAAAAGTACTAATATTTAGACAAATACTTAGTAATAATAGGCTTTGTGGACTATACCAAAGTATTTTCTACAACTGCTTTACTATCATATTTCCTGAAATAGTTTCCACTGATAGGGGTCATAATCTCTCTTTGCTGTGGAACTCAAAAGTGGATATATTATCCTAAATGGAACTTAAGTTAATAAACTTAGGCTTAGGACAGGGATTTACCAGGAATTTTGCAAACAACTTTTTTATTATTCAAGATCTTTTAAGAAGTTGAATTTGTTGTTTTGGGGGATGTTTTGGAAATTTTCAGTGCTTCAGAAGCCATTTATCCATCCAGTAAAGATTCTAGAACTAATTTGTGTAATACATTTAGTAATGTACATGAAAATTCCTGAATTTGTCAGGTATCAATATAACCTCAAGTTAAATCACTTTTTAGTCCTCCATCAAATCTCTTTAAATGTGTTGAACCATTTGACAACATTAGGGTAGTTTAGGGAGATTTTTCTGTTTTTAAATATAACTTTTTAAAGTTTTTTTCCCTCCCTGATATTTCCTAGAATAACTGTAAGATATGCTTTGTATGAAGGAGATGAGATGTACCATTATTAAAGATTGCTCTTGAAAAAATATATATAACATTATTTTATTAAAATGCTTAATTTTTTCCTGAGGAAATACATAATTTTAATATTATCAAATATTAATCATTTTATATGTTTTGTTTCTTTTTAAAATTCAGGCTTTCGTTAAAGATAGAACCAGGGACAAGCACACCACGCTCTGCTGCTTCGAGAGAAGATTTAGTAGGTTAGTGCATAGTTTTTTCTGACTACTGAATAATAAATCAGATAACCTAAAAAGAAAGAATATGCTCCAAAGTAAATAAATACTTAGCACATTTTATAATGCATGTAAAAATTTATTTTTGGTGTTAAAATATATCACTTCTTTGGATTTTTTCATTTGTTTTTTAATTAAGAAGTTTTTACTTGGAGTATGCAGTAATGTACAAACTAATTAAGGAAAATAGATACAACAAATGAAAAATAGATAAGTGTTTAAGAATATCTGTTCTTTTTTTTATTAAGAATACACTGTCCTGGGGCACCTGGGTGGCTCAGTCGGTTAAACATCTGCCTTTGGCTCAGGTCATGTTCCCAGGGTCTTGGGATAGAGTCCCACATTGGGCTCCCTGCTTAGTGGCGAGTTGCTTCTCCTTCTACCCCCCCACCCCCACCCCTGCTTGTGATCTCTCTCTCTCTCTCTCTCAAATAAAATCTTAAAAAAAAAAAAAAGAATACACTGTCCTGGTCAATGAAGATTGATTACATGATTACATTAAAATTTCTGTGGTCTGAGTGGAAAATTTTACTGATTTGAATATAGAAACCAGTTTTAGTAACATTTTAGAAATTTCACTCTAATACTGGGCCAAGTACTGAAAATAATAAAAAATAGTCACAGTCCCATAATTTACCTGTTACATTATAATGGGGGTAATATATGCATACCACACATAATTAAAAACATAAAATTGGAGAGAATTGTTCATTATTTAAGAAATTATTAATAAGTACCTTTTTTTAAATTTCAAAAGCAGACTTTGGCACTAAGCTTCATAATATTACATACCCTGTAAATATTTGGAGGCCCATCCAATAAGATGTGGAGGAAGCAAGGGAACAAGCCATGATGATATCTAGGGGAAGAGTATTATAAGCAGTGGGAAACATGGCAGTCTGAATCTCTTAAATTTGCTTTTGTTTTCATTGTTAAAGTGCTATTTTGCAAATCTGTGTACTTTTCAAGTTCTGGTTTTTTAACTCCCGTAAGTCTGAACAGTGTCAATATAGATTGAAATTTCAATTTGAATGCTTGACCTGCCCTACATGCTCTTTCTCCAAGAAGAAGCTGAAACTAAGAGAGAGAAGCAATGTGTAAAATTAAATGAGCACTGGGATGCCTGGGTGGCTCAGTAGGTTAAGCATCTACCTTCAGCTCAGGTCATGATCCCAGGGTTCTGGGATCGAGCCCCATGTTGGGCTCCCTGCTCAGTGGGGAGTCTGCTTCTCCCTCTCCCTCTGCCACTCCCCCTGCTTGTGCACACACTCGTTCTCTCAAATGAATAAATAAAATCTTTTTTAAAAAATTTTTAAAAAAATTAAATGAGCACTGAACTGGGACTCCTCTGAGCAATTAGTCCAGGCTTTATCTGCGAAGTGATATCCTGAGCCCGTCTCTTCTATTTTAATGTTCGGTCAGTTAAATAGAATTAACAATATTATTATCTTAAAATTTAAACCACGTTTTATATTTTTTATCAAGGGATTAAAAAGAAAACAATCTTTTGAAACAATATGAAAATTTCTCTCTCTCTTTTTTGCATTTAACTGCTAGGTCCTGAAGTAGGAGCATCTCCGCAAAGTGGAAGAAAAAGTGTGGCAGCTGAAGGAGCCCTGCTACCACAGACACCGCCGTCCCCTCGGAACTTGATTCCACATGGACACAGGAAGTGCCATAGCTTGGGCTATAAGTCAGCATTTTTCATTTTATCTTTCAGATTTTTAAGTTGTTTCCAGCTGGATTTATTTTCTATATATTTTATTGGTTAAACATAGTTTTATTTGTATAACAGTAGTTTTTTTCCTGATTCGGTAAAATATTTTGTTTGCCTAGAAGCATTTAGTTTTTCCTTTACCTTAATTTGGAAATAAGCTTCTCCCACTGCTTACCTTTGGGGGAGATAAATGAACTATATTACAGAGTATCATCATAAAGTCAGGAAAGCAATATCCCATTTTCCTTTTAAATCTACAACTTTTACAGCAAAACAGTCATTGCTTGTCTTAATCAAAATAAGTCACCATAAATAAAGGTCTATAAAAATTACTCCTTTTAGGGCACCTGGGTGGCTCAGTCGTTAAGCATCTGCCTTCAGCTCAGGTCATGATCCCAGGGTCCTGGGATCGAGTCCCTTGTCAGGCTCCCTGCTCAGCCGGGAGTCTGCTTCTCCCTCTCCATCTGCCTGCCGCTCTGCCTACTTGTGCTCACTCTCTCTGTCAAATAAAATCTTTTGGGGAAAAAAAAATTACTCCTTTTATTCCTAAATATAATGAAAAGGAAGCTGATTTTTTTGTTTAACATCATTACCTTTGCAAGATCGTTTACTCAAAATGGGGCCCATAGTTCACCTTTGCCATGATTTTTAAAATAGCTATTTTCCGAAAGTAAATGTGAAACAATTTTTTAATGGACCTGAGACTCAAGATGAAATTAAAATATTATCTCTGGCCTGGTCTGGTTTCCTAAAATACTTTCCCTAAACTGTTAATTTGAGGCTTTTATGGTAAAATCTGTGTGTTTATTAGTATGAGAATTCAGAAGTCAGTTTAGGATAGCAGGTAAATGTTCTGTATCTTGCATCTTTAAGAGTATCTTTTATATCTTGAATTAACAACAATAGTAAAAGATATGAAAAATATTTCTCTTTGTTTCCAGTTTCATTCATAAAATGAACACAGCCGAGTTTAAGAGTGCAACGTTCCCAAATGCAGGGCCAAGGCATCTATTAGATGACAGCGTCATGGAGCCCCATGCACCATCTCGAGGCCAAGCTGAAAGTTCTACTCTTTCTAGTGGAATATCAATAGGTGAGAAATACTTCTCTGAGAGGATTCAATTTATGAAAATGAGATTTAAAACTCAGCTGGAAAAAAGTCATTAACCTTAATATACATAGAGAAAATTTGATAAAAGCAAAGTAGCAATCAGATACAGGATCATCTTACTAGTACCTACTAAAGTTAATAAATCATGGTGTTTTAAAAGCTGCTTAATAAAAGTTTTTGACTCCAAAAGGGGAGGCATTTGAGGAGTGATGGGAAAAGAAGGTGGACTGTTTGAATTGGTTACATCATGCAGTTTGGTTGTAGGAATGAGAAAAGGGGTAGAGTGGGTATACTCCCAGGTTCTGGATGATAGTACTATTGCCATGATAGAAAAGACCAGAAGAGCAAGCATTTGTGGGTGGTGAGGTATTTGTGAAGGATGACTGGGTTTGAGGAGTTAGGAATCCTGTTTTGGACATGTTTGGTCCACATGGAGTTGTCCGATAGGTAACTAAATATATGACACTTGAGCTCAGTGGGGTCAGGTTAGGTCTGTAGATATAAAGCATAGGAGTTCGCATATGTAGCATAGTATTTCAAGCCATGGGATTGGTTGAGGTCACCAAGGAAGAGAATGTAAATAAATAAGACATGCTAACATTTAGAGGTCTGTTTAATTATTTTTATTTATTTATTTTTTTAAGATTGATTTATTTTAGAGAGAGAGCACATGAGCAGGAGGGGCAGAGGGAGGAGAGAGAATCTCAAGCACACTCCGTGCTGAGCGCAGAGCCTGACACAGGGCTCGATCTCATGACCATGAGATCACAACCTGACCTGAAACCAAGAGTTGGATGCTTAACCTACTGCACCACCTAGGTGCCCCTAGTATTTTTTTTTTTAAAGAAGATGAGCCATCAAAGGAAATATGAAGGAGGGATCAGTGAAATAGCCATAAAAATCAGGGTGTGGTATCACAAAAGCCCAGTAGAGGAAGTATCTCCAGGAAGAGGGAAGTATTTAATGTATCACTATCAAATGCAAGAAAAAGAAAAGAAGAGAATGGGAATTGACCACTGCATTTGGCAAGATAGAAGTCATTGTGACCTTGATAAGAGTTGCTTCGTAGAATAGTGGAGTCAGAGCCCTGATTGGAGTAGATCGGAGAATGAGAGGCCAGGGAATAGAGATGAAGGGGACCAGAAAATCGCAACCATACTGGAAAGGGATGTGAGGTTGTGAGGAAAATCTGTTATTACTTCCTAAACTTCTTTATTTTCTGAATATTTTAAATGAGCATTATTTCTTTTGATTATTAGAAAAACCTTCTTATTTTTAAAAAGGAATAAAGGAAGAAAATATTTTCCTCTCTGGTTAAGTGCCAGGTTGCTCAGGGGCTAAGCCTGTTATTGTTAATAGGATCATCTCAATATTGATGCATAGTCAATAGAAAGAAATTCAAGGAGTTCATTTTCTTAAACAAATTGACTTCCTTAACCCTTGAGAGTTCCAAACCCTGTAAACAAAATTGATTTAGAGCTTTCCAGCACCATTCAGCAGTTTTTTAATTCCAAAGTGCAAATGATTATATGATGACAAAATTCACAAAATAGAAGACACGTTGGCCCCTCAAATACCTCTTCATTAATGCTATAAGCTGTCATTATGCAAATATCACAGTCAACTTGAAAACAATACGCAGAGTAATTTTGCAAAAGAGAAAAAGAACTTTCTTCCCATTAAACTAGTAAATTTGTTACACTATGGAATCTGGCATGCCACTTAAACCAAAAAATAATAATTTTTTTAAATTACAGCTCTCAATTAAATATATATAATATTTGACTTTTCCCCATCATGAATTTTATAATGATAATTCTTTATTTGTGGCTTTTACTTTCCACTGATGTTCTTTTGGATATCAAGATAGTTATTTATCTCGTTATTTCGTTCAGTTACAGTTAGTGTCTCAATATGGAGGCCTTTCTTTTAGAACAGGAAAAACTATTTTAGGGACACCTGGCTGACTTAGTTGGTAGAGTGTGCAACTCTTGATCTGGGGGTTGCGAGTTCAAGCCCCACATTGGGTGTAGAGATAACTTACGAATAAAAAATCTTCTTCAAAAAAGGAAGAGACTAATTTTTGCCTTTGTATTTATTTTTTATTTTAAGGCTGTTAAGTGGGTAATGTTAAATCCTTGTTTATAAATTAGAACATTAGACATAGACATTACCTTACATGGTTTATTGTTTTAAAGCTATATATTCTGGAAGGAAAGTATATTTATAACCATAAGTGGTAGATGTTACACACACACACACACACACACACGCAGTTTATAATCACAAAAGGGTTTTTTCCTTAGCTGTAACTTTAATATACACTATCAGTCTATACCATGGAGATTTTGAGAAGGTACTACAGAGAAATTAACCAGTGCTTGGGATGGTGGCCTTTAACATTTTTAATGTGGTACAAACTCTTAGATAAGTCTTGCCTAGCTAAGAGAAGCATACCCAGTCTGAGTTTCATGCTTGTAGAAAAACTTTTATTTTCTACAAATAAGTCATACTATTTATGATTGATTTTCAGTCTTTACCACATAATGCTACAAATCAAAAGAGAATCTATAAGACCCTACCACTACCAACAGAATAGTTCCAGTTTCTCATCTGAACCACACAACAAAGAAAATTTTTTCTGTTACTGTTACTCAGTTTTTCCAAGGATAGTATATATATAACTAGTACCACTCTAAATACATAAACAAGGTTTAATCCATCACATACAATGCGTACCTTTTAGCATTGGAGTTTGTGTCTCTTATGGAACACTGGTATGAAAGGTCTGATAGACAGTTCAACTTGATATATAAGGGACAGATTAATCATCAGTTTTGTTGAGAGCCAGAATTATCTTTAAACTTTTAAATCAGTGTAAGCTGTTTTGGACTTTCCAAATTTATTCCCCTCAGTTTTTTCTTTAGCTAACGTAAAACTTATTTTAACTGCTATTCTGGCTATAAAGAGAAAGTTTTTAGATTGTTACAGCACGATTTTTTTTTTTTAAATTTAGGGATTCCATCCTGTTCTACATTGCCTCTGAAGGCAAAAATTAAATTTCATTAAGCTTTTTATCCTTAGGGTAGTGAAAGGTTTTAAAAGGAATACAAAAGGGAAAGTATAGCATGAACCTCTAAGAATTTCACAATTATATTGGTCTTAAATTTTGACAAAATTTTGAAATTTTGAAAAATTTTGTGCTTATGGTACATTCTCTGATGGTAGAAAATTGTTTATTAACATAATGAATCTGAGCTATAAGTAGTTCTACAAAAATGTCTTACGCTATTTTGTTATTTTAGATAGTCTTGTCAACCAGATTCCAACATACTGCAAATGAGCCTAGCAGCCAGCATTAATACTAGAATGAAGAATTAATATGTGGATGTTCACCCACAGATAACATGACTGTCATTTTATAAGTACAATTAAAGAATTTATTTTTAAAATATGAAATTTAAACTGTAATTCTGATGTTTTAAAAATAGAATAACTTTTGATTTTAGGTAGCAGTGATGGTTCTGAACTAAGTGAAGAGACCTCATGGCCTGCTTTTGAAAGGTAAGAATCGTTCATTTGAACTGCTTCAAGTTTAGTTTGTCTTCCTTAAAAGATAGGATCATATGCATATTAACAGGTAATATTTGTTACATGTCTCTAAGGCACTATTTATAAGCTTCCAACTGGTGGCAGAAATTAGCAGTTGATATTTAAGTCTTAGCTAATAAATACATGTTTATTTGGTGACTTGCCGTGTATTTGAATTTTAATACCTTTAAAATTATAAATTTAAAATCATAATAACCAGTCATAGTCAACTGAAATACTGTAAGTCATGCTCCCTTCTCCTTTCTTTATTACTTAAAGTTTTAAAAGTTGTCATCTGCCTACAGCAGGTATCATGCTATATTGATCTTCGAATGTAAGATCTTCTTAAAAATGTAGCCAAACAGTGCAAATAATTTATTTACTTAAATATCCATTAGGACTTTTATATTGTCTTCGACCATTTCAGTTCTTCCATTTTCATATTTACAGGATGCTTGACTCTTGCCAAAATAATTGCTCCCTTTTTTATATAAACTGAGCAACCTAAATTTCTAAGCAGCAGAGTGTCGTTTAGATTGAATTTTGAGTGCCATATTAAAATCGATGGAAATGAAAATAGTTACCTAACTCTGTATCAATCACTTTTTTAGTAGAAAACAATTTTATTAACTATCTGTAAACGATATTGGAATTGGTTAATTTCATGCTGTTTAATTGGAATATTCTTGTTCTTAATGAAACTTCATGAAGATTTCTCTCTGTTATGTGATTAAGATTTTATTTGTAAACCGAGCATTTCAAAGTACTCTTGAGCCTTTCTACTCTAGTTATCAGAGTTCCCAAGTCTTATTTTTTGTTTTTGGGGGGCCTTAACAACTTGTTTTTGCATACTATTTCTCTTCCAACTTTTATATTCAGTCTCTTTATTAGGGTTTGCCTGAAATGAGAAAAACACAAGTTGCCTCTGGCATGCTGTCCGTACAAGTGATTTCAGTTCTTTCCTTCCAGGAAGAGCATCATATGTTGATTATAGAGTGTATTGTAATCTTTAGATAAAAAACATGGATGAAAAAAATCATTTCTCAGTTTGCATGCGTTACAAAGTGAATAACCAGGATGGTGTTGTGTTCAGTAATCTGTCCTCATCCCAGCAGGTTACGTTTGAAGACAGTATTTAATGGTGTTACCTTCACATCTCAAAACGATAGATTTCTTTTACGACAAATGTTTTGCTTTGCAGACATTTGCAGCTAAAAAAAATCTGTAGTTGTGCCAAGTTTAAATCTGTGGCTCTGGGAACATTTTGAGAGCAAATTAATGCTTCCCAGCAAAATTCAGACATGGAATAATAAAAAGTAAATAAAGAGCTAGGATTTTTAAAATACTGCTTGTAGATAGTGAATTTGAAAATAGTTCTCTGAATGTTAAACATATCACCCTCTGTCCTTATTTTCTACAGAGACATCAAATATGTTGCTGCTTAAGTTGCTAAAATAATGCTTTTTTGCTTTAAATAACATTTATCAACAGTGCTACCTTTGGCTTTTCCCAGGCAAAGAAGTGTTGGCGTTTCTTTGTGTGTGTGTTTATTTCCTTTTGTTAAGTATTACATGCCATTTTGGATAAATAGTATCTCAGACCATTTTTATCGTTTATTGGCTTTATCATTTATTTCAGTTGTTGTGGAAATAAAATAATGCTTTTATTACTCAGCTTCTCTCTTTTACTGGTTTTCTTGGATTTAACGAAAAGGATAGAGAGGATGATATAGGTGTTTAGGCCACATTAATTTTAAGTTTACAGCCCACATTGCTTTTAGGTGTCTTCATAGGGACATATAATAAAAATGAGTTATTTATATAAATCCAGATATCATTTTTAAACTGGAATCCAAGAACTGGAATAGAAACAAAAGGATTTTTGAAGTATTATCCAGGTTTTGATAGTACTGGTTATAAATAACTCTAATTATTTTAGCAGATTTGTGAGAGCAAATGTATCTAAAATGTATGGTATATCCTAACACCTGTATTTCTAGAGTCAGTAGTAGAATAAAACATCTTTTTTTAAATCTGGGCTGCATGCTTAAAAGAAAGAGGAGCAACCACATACTGTCCTTTTGTAGAATTTAGAAAGCTGTATTACAGGAAGAAATTATTACATTGTTCTAGGTATTGATGATTGTGTGAATAAAAGCATATGTAATATATACAATTTATAATGGAATCCAACAGGAACAGATTATACCATTCTCTCGGCCCGGTGACACGAGTGGCACGAAATGGCCATCGAAGCCACGTGAAGGCCAGCAGGTACAATCCCCCTGCATTCAGGGGTCACAGCACTCCCCTCCGGTGTTGGTGATTGGCTAAATGGGTGTGATCTCACAGTATCTCTGTTCTTTCTCAACTAATTGGTTTAAAAATGCCCCCAAAAGCTTTCTTGCCAAGATTTAATCTAGAGATAAATTTGAACTTCTCTTTGAGCTAATTGCAGAATAATTCCAACTTGGTGGCCTTAGAACTGCACAGGCCTCTGTAATGCTGCTGGTTCTTGGATAAGCATTATTCAAAGGCTGCTGTCACAGCATTTACTTTGCTAGTAAGGCTCCATTCAATTTATCTTTGTTAAGAATTTTTCATATAAACTGCAGGACCTGAATGTAGACAAGTCTCAGTAAATAATGTTTGTGCTTTTAAACTCATTTTTGTTCAGTGGTTTATTAGTTAAACCAGGTCTCTTTCTGCACCATATTAGCTACGGAAGGAAATGAGAATGTTAGATTGATGTGGGACTGGAGGTTACTGGTAATGGGTAATCAGCCACTTCATAATACAGCACATACAGTAGCCAATTTCTGAAGTAAACTTTTTGTCAATTTGGTGTCTAATCTCTTTGTGTATACCCTGAATATAAATAGCAATAGCATGAAAATTCTAGTGGTCTCTAGGTTTTTAAGTCACTTTGAAGACACCTAAATAATCATAAAGGGATAAACTGGCAAACTTCAGTGCTCTTCCTTGTTGTAGGAATTCTGCAGATCATGTCAGATCCCCAAAGAATGGCAGATAATTTTATTAGTGTGTAGGTTTTAATTGACTTGTAGAAGTTATTGTTGTTTTAAATATAGGACCTTAAGTCAGTTGGGGAAAGATATTTAAATGTTTGGTTATCTTGTGGTGGTTTTCTTAAGATACATGAAAAGGAAATCTTGAGTTTGGGAGTTCTTCCTTCCTTGGAGAGCTGTTAGGTTATAATCAAACACTTATGCATTGATAGCATATTTTTAAATGTTATTAAAATTTATTGCAGTACACTAGTTTTTTAAATATGTTGTTATTGCCTATATTACTTCCCTCACCTATTTTAGAATTAAATTAAGCATGGGTTTTCTTTTTCTTTTCTTCCTTTTTTTGAGCTTCTGCTCTTTCTATTTTGAGTTTGTATGCTTAAATACTTTTTAACAAAAAGAATCCTCACCTTTCCTACCAGGACTTAAAGTATCTTAAGGGGAAAAAAGTTTACAGCAGTGATGCAAATGTGTCATGTTAAAAAGAAGGAAAAGTCTTAAATCCTTAATTTAATCTTCACTAAAGTGAATTACTCTATTCTTTCTAAATTATACTTGTTCAAGTATGTAATAAAGTGTATGTTTTTTAACCATCTGTTGACTTTAATAACTTCCTGATTAAACTTCTATGACAGCTTATAAATTTCAGCTGAGTAAGCCTTTATAATTGTCACTGTCTTCTAATGCTAAATACATGAACAAAGTTTTAAAACTAAGAGTAATTACATTTCATTTAAGTACCTGCTTTGTAACTGCTATACACGAGAGGTCTTACATGTTCTTTTCTTCATTCCATTATTATAGTTCTGCAGAATCAGAAGATTTGGCAGTACATTTATATCCAGGAGCTGTTACTATTCAAGGTGTTCTCAGGAGAAAAACTTTGTTAAAAGAAGGCAAAAAGCCTACAGTAAGATATTATCATATTATATTTTAACACACCTCTAAAAATAAGCAAACATATAGGACCCTAAAAAATATGAAAACAATGAAATAAAACCAGATGTATGGTACAGTTGAAATAATTGAAAATGCACATTTGCCTCACCGTGTTTCTTAATTTAGACTTCAGTTAGATCATACATTGAGGGTGTGTCCATCAAGGTGCTCCTGTACTCCTCTCTGTCCCCTAATGTAGTTCTTACACAAAACCATTTCTCGGAGAACCTTGAAAGTATATGCCATTATGAAATATTCTAGTAATAAGTTTAGGAAAAATAAAGAATTGAGAGTAATAACCCTAAAAAGTGGAATGCAACCAATTTTGTTTTGTCAGTCCTAAGTTGTTTATTTAAATCTCTGTAATGAAGTTTTGTTTTCCTTCGTGAAATAAAACCCAGATATTAAATGTCCTCCAAACCATTGTTATATTTTTTTAAGTGGTAGAAGTTTAGTAGCACAAAGCCTTTTTTTGTATGTAACATAGAAGTTTCTTGTTCCCCAGCAAGCAGTTTGACTGCTAAAGAAAGAAGACTTTGTTTTTTTCTTTTCTCAAATAATAGTATAATTTATCTAGTTTGGAATAAAAACTTCAGTGTGTATCCAAACTTAACACTTTTGAAGATATGAGGGCTTCTTAAAATGTAAAAATGGTTTACAGCTGAGCAGTCTGATTTTGCCGCTTACGTTCCAGTAAGCCACAGTTGAGAAGCCACACGAGGCCAGCTCGTAAAAACTAGGAGTCGCGTGTCAGTTGAGGCATTATGACACTCTTGTGTGTCAGATGCTGGAAACAGAGCAGCAAACAAGGTGAGGCACAGTGCCTGCCTTGTGCAAATGACATTCCAACGAGACAAATAGAAAGTAAGTCCTTGAAATAAGGTAATGGCATGGCAGGTGAGAGGATGAGGAGAGGTGTCAGCACGGCGAGGCATCTGAGCTGCTGTCTGAACAAGGCAGGTGAGCTAGCCGTGTGAGGATCTGAGTTCAGGCAGCGAGAAGGCCTGTGGAGCTGAGGTGCAGCAGGTGGAGGAGGTGAAGTCAGAGAGAACGGGTAGGGTTGCTTGGTGATGTATTAGGTGCGGTGTATGAGAGCACGTGACGTGAAGGTGGTACCTGGGTTGGGGGCTGAGCTGGATGAATGTTGGGAATGTTTACTGAAACAGGGAAAGTTTTTTCAAGAAAGGGCCGGTAAGTCTTAGCTAATTTCACTTTAATGTGCGTTTTAGGCATAGAAGTGGAGATGTCAGTTTAGCTCTAAAAAGTACAGGTCAGAAGTTCAGCAGAGAGGTGGTGGCCAGAGATGGAGATGTGGTTGTCGTTTGTATACAGATGGTATTTGAAGTATGGGACCAGGTGAGACATTATCTGTGAAGAAAGTATAGCTGGGGAAGAAAAGAGGGCCGAGGATAGAACTCAAGGTCTGCTATGAGAAGCATAGAGGAAAATGAAGGAACTGTTACCAGAGAAGCGCAGCAGTTAAAGTATTTCAAGAAGGAAGGAGTGGCCAGCCGTGTCAGATGTTGCTAAGAGGTTGACTGTGGTAAGAACAGAGGCTTTGGGATATGTCAGTGATCAGTGACCTTTACATCAGCAGCCTAACTGAAAGTAAGTTGAGAAAATGGGCAAGAGAGAAGTAGAGTCAGGGATTAGAGACACCTTGCAAGAAGTTATGCTGTGAACAGGAGCAGAAAAATTGGATGCTCTCTGATGGGGCAGAGGACGGGGCGGTGGAGGGATTTTCAAAGATGAGAGTGCTGTGAAGCCTCATTTGTGTAATGATGGGAGAGGGAGAGAAATCAAGACAGTGGAGAGAGGAGTAAATGACAAAAGCAGATTTCTTGAGGGAGTGAGAGATAGTAGGAATCTAGAGCAAAAGGAGGGTAGTTTCTCCTTTGATAAAAGCAGCGTTAACTCTTCTGTTGCAGCAGGAAGAAAGGCCAAGTAGGTGGGTCTACAAATAGATGGAATTGGTCAGGGAAGATGAGGAAGTCCTCACCAGATTTCACCTATTTCTCTCTGGGGAGTGTGCAGTGCTATCATAAGGGGATGGAGTACTAGGTTTTGTTTTTTTTTTTTTTAAGATTTTATTTATTTATTTGACAGAGACAGAGATAGCGAGAGCAGGAACACAAGCAGCGGGAAGGGGAGAGGGAGAAGCAGGCTTCCCCCCGAGGAGGGAGCCCGATGTGGGACTCGATCCCAGGACCCTGGGATCATGACCTGAGCCGAAGGCAGACGCTTAACGACTGAGCCACCCAGGCGCCCCTAGGGTTTTTGAAAAGGAATGAAATGGTTATCTCCAGAGAGAAAGAGGATAATGACTTCATGGGGTAAAAATGAAGTACTATTGATTTCTAAAGAGATTGTTGGTTCTAATTTTATCAGTTGGCACAATTGTGTGATTTCTCCAGCAATATTCGGTTATTATAATGTGCCAAGTAATCAGATGGTTAGATTTAAATAGGGCTAGGGTTCTATCAGGAGAGAGGGACAGTGAGATTGAAGGATTTGGAAGGGAATGGCCATAGTGCTGGACCATGTGGTATTGGCTAAATATGAAGAAGGGAGAGGAAGGATACAGGATGGGGAGGCAGCGGCAAGGGTAGATAATGTTAAAAAGGGGTATGGGTTTTGATAAAACCAATAGTTATCTGAATGAAAGTAGTAGTAGAGCATATTCAGTGGAAGTGACAGGAATGTGGGAGATAAAGATTTCAGCAGTGATTCAACTCTAAGATTAGACTAAGGTGGCTGGAGTGGAGCTAAAGGTCATCAGCACTAAGAAAGTAAAGAAACTGAGAAGCCGGTGGTAGTATGTTCCTGTGTTTGTCTTTCCAGGTGGCATCGTGGACAAAGTATTGGGCAGCTCTGTGTGGGACACAGCTTTTTTACTATGCTGCCAAATCTCTAAAAGCTACAGAGAGAAAGCATGTAAGTATTCCTCCTCTGAACTGCTAGCAGAGTTTCAGTCCCTCTTCATGGTTGTAAAGAAAGTAGTCCTGATGAAATGCAGCAATTTGGATCATTTCCATATTCTATTCCAGAAGTTCTTAACATCTATTCCTTGTGTGAGTGTTGTGGTAGAATTATTTTTATTTAGTAAGACCATTCCAGGGAAGGTCTTGGAATAACTTCCATATTTAGAGTTTCTTTTTTTGAATGCTATTTTTCCATCAAAGCTCAAAAATGCTTATTCCCACTCTATTTTGGCATCAAAACCTTCCCAAGTCTGGGTTTCTTGTTCAGAAAGTAGTTGAAAATTACTGCTTTGGAGTCTCAGTTCATAATTTGTAAAATGTGAAAAATTGGGACCATCATCTAAAGTTCTTTGCCACCTCAATCTCAGGAGTGGTTTTTCTCAACAGTGAAGAGGAATAATAGTTACTATGCTTACTCTAGTCCACTTTTTTGTGTTGCATATTACTTAGAAGAAGCCTCTCAATGCACTTTTCTCCAAATGTAGAATCTTCTATAAATCTCTTTTGCATGCTGTTTTGTTTTTATATGCTAGTGATACAGTCTTTGAAAGGAAGAAATTTTCCATGTTGCATTAATAAAATCCCCTTGAGAAGAATTTTATTTCTAAGTCATGTATTTTGCCGTGAAATTAAGTGGTTTACCATACCAAGGAGAGGTAATCCACTAAAAAAATTGAGTCCTTTTACTATGTATAAATTATCCAGTGACATTGCATAATTCAGAGAAGCTCTTCTTTATTCTTATAGAAGAGTATGTTGTTGGTTTAAATGAATGTTGTAAGTGCCATAAAATAGTATCAACCTTCGTTCCATGCCATACCTACACCTGTCATTGTCCTGAATTTCACATTAATCATTGCCTTGCTCTTCTCTAATTTAGAGTTTACCATATATGTTTCCTTAAACAACGCATTGCTTCATTTTTGAACCGTACCTGAATGGAATCATATAAATTCTCAAATTCTGGCTTTTTTTTTTTTAAGGGCGGGGGAGGGGCAGAGGAAGAGGGAGAATCAGGGCCTGACCTGGGACTCAATAATCCCACAACCCAGAAATCATGATCTGAGCTGAAATGAAGAGTCAGACACTTAACCAGCTGAGCCCTCAGGCGCCCCTGAAGTTCTGGCTTTTTTGCCTACTGTTATTTTACAGTTGTTTAGATAAAATCCTCACATTGAGGTAAAGGACTGTTTTTTGTATTCTGGTCAAAGTGACTAATACTCACACACCCAACAGAGTTACACAGACTAGTTCCACCCAAACATTTTGCAGAGTAATTGCCTCTGATTAATACTGCTATCCTCAAAGGGAGGAAAAAAGATTGCTATAGCTAAATTAAATCCTTTGTCTTCAGATACAGTTAACTTTTCACATAGCCACTTTGAGATGCTTGGCTCAGTTTCACTTAGTTGACGATTATAAAGAAGTAGCTATTCAAAATTAAATATTTTTTATTTTTTCCTAAACTTTAGTTAGAAAGAAGCCAGATGAAACTAGAGCATACTGGGTTGTAAGGAAATCAAATTGAGTGCCAAGGAAATGAACTATATTCCTAATCTTCTTAAATTAAAACTGTTCGGGTTAAAGAAGGAATTACAAGAACAACATAGAGGGTAGAGAGGCAGGCTCGTGTTAATATTATAGAATCAGTTTTGAGATGTGGCACAGAACTAAAAGCAGTGAAAGGAAAACTTTTTTAAATCATTTTCAAACAAAATTATATTATTAGAAGAAAATAATGGCTATATATAAGCAACAGATAAAGGATTAAAATGTATTCTATAAACAGAGCACCACCTATGTAGTGTTCTTGCCAAAAGTTTAACCTGAATCTAATCATGAAGAAACAATCAAATCCAGATTGTGGGACGTTCTACAAGACAACTGGCTTGGATTCTTAAGACCAAAATTTGGTAGATGGGGCGGGGCGGGGGGTGGGGGCGGACAGGAGGACTGTTATAGATTAAAAGAGACTGAAGAATCTGAGAGGTAAATGCAATATGTGTACTTCAGTTGAATTCTGGAGGTAATTTTTTTTTTTTTTAAACCACAAAGGTCATAATTGGGACAATTGAAAAAATTTTAATGTGGGTTTTATAAAAAATGATGTATCTTAAATTTCTTAGATACTTATATTGTGGTTATATAGAAATATATTCTTAGGCTATATGTGCTGAAATATTTAGGACTCAGTTTTATGATGTCTGCAGTTCAAAAAGATCAAGCAAATGCATAAAATGTAGATTCGTGGGTAACCACTGTGGCATTCTTTCAACTTTGTAGTTTCAACCTTTCAAAATTGAAAGCTGGAGGGAAAAAAAATTACTAATGAAAATATACCTGTTCATTTAGGTCTATAAATGCAGAAGGAAGAAATCTGGAAGCCTACAAACCTATAAGTTTTATTACTCTCCATACATTTTTTTTTGCCTGTGAGGAACAGAATAGGCTTGGCAGGGTAGAATAACTGGGGAGAGCGAAGGGGGACTCCTATTATGTCTATATTTTTAGACTTTTTTAAGATTTTATTTATTTATTTGAGAGGGAGAACACAGGTGGGGTGAAGGTGGGGAGGGGCAGCGGGAGAGGGAGAAGCAGACTCCCCGCTGAGCAGGGAGCCAGACATGGGGCTCAATCCTGACCTGAGCCAAAGGCAGACACTTAACCGACTGAGCCACCCAGGAGCCCCTTTTTGGATGTTTTAAAATGAAAACATTCACTGTAAAAATGTTTTTTATTGGAAGTTTATTCATTGTAAAAAAAAAATTTTGGAGGTATGTTTGAACCCATCGCTGTATGGTAAAGAGTGAATAAATACTATTCAATTAGTTAAATTTTTAAAGACCAAGACTGTGCTTGAAAAGAAATCTGTAACAAAACTAACAGCTTTCCACAGCTCAGAATAAAACAGGACATTAGAAAAAGGGAAAGAGGAGATAAATAGAAGATGAAATATAATTGGCTAGTAAACATGAAAAGATGATCAACCTTATTAGGTATCAAAAATGCAGGTTAAAGAAGATGCCCTTTTTTGCTATTAGGCAAAAATTTTGAAGATTGTTAGTAGAGCATTGTCCATGGTGTAGGGAAACATAGACTATTATCCATGATTTGCAGAAATTTAAATTGGTATTGTTTTTGTGGTGGGCAGTCCTAGTCCGTATTTAACCTAATAATAACCAGTGATTCCTTATCTGAGAATCTGTCCTGTGGAAGTCCTTGAACAAGTGCACAAAAATTCCTGTAGAAGAATATTCCTGTAGTGTTTATAATAGAAATCTATAAAGACTCAAAATACTTACCAATAAGGAAGTACTGATAAGTGAAAACTATAAGAGTACAAATACGCCCCCATTAGTACAGTGAACCCTTGAACAACTAGGTTAGAGGTACCTACGCCACCTCCCTCCCACACCTGTGCAGTTGAAAATCTGTATAACTTTCAACTCCCCAAAAACTTAACTACCAATAGCCTACTACTGATCAAAAGCTTTACCAATAACATAAACAGTTGGTTGACACATTTTGTATATGTATTGTATGATGTATTATTACAATAAAGTAAGCTAGAAAAAATGTTAAGAAAAGCATAAGAAAAAAAAGACACTGTAATGTATTTATCCAAAAAAATCGGCATTTTAAGTAGACCTGCATAGTTAAAACCCATGTTGTTCAAGGGTCAGCTGTATATGAAAACCAACAGCATCAAAGTCTTTGGTGTAAATGCATAGAGAAAGGTCAGGCATTTGTTTTCTTGATTTTTCTGCGTGGATAACCAATTTTCCTGGCATCATTTATTGAACAGTTCATTCTTCCTTCATCAGTCTGCAGAGTCCACTCTTGTCATACAAATTTGCGTCTCTACGCCCAGATGGCTCTCTTGACTTTCATCACCCTGTCTGTTTGTCCCTGTCCTGTAGCCCATGGTCTCAATTACTGTAGCTCTGTGAGTCTTGATGTGTATTAGGGCAGGTCCTGACTAACTCTTCCCAGGAGTGTATTGCCTATTTCTGCTCCTTCGCTCTTGTATATAAATTTTAGAATCAGCTTCTCAAGTTCCGTAAAATCCTACTGAAATTTTTATTGAAATGACACTGAATCTATATAAATCAATTTAGAGAGAATTGACATCTTTACAAATCAAACCTTTTTCTTCATCTCATGGTATTTCTTCATTGTTTTATGTCTTGGATGCCTTTTATGGGTTCTACTTCTGTATATTTTTTGTCGCATGTATTGCTAGATACCCCTCTTATAAATGACTTTTATAGTTCTCGTGTATAGAATTACAGTTGATTTTCATACTGATCTTTTCCAAGTGTCTTTGCTCATCATTCTTATTAATTTGGTAGATGTGAGTGGATTTTCTTTGTCCATGAGTAATGGCAGTTTTATTTCTTCCTTACTCTTACACCTTTTATTTCCTTTTTGTTACCCTATTAAGCTGACTATCTCTTCAAATTCTGTGTTGAATGGAAGTAGCAATGATAGGCATCCTTGTCTTGATACTGATTTTGAAATGTTTTTAGCATTTTACCCTTGAGTGTGTGTGGTAGGGTTTTGATTTTGGGCTGTCTTTTTTTTTTTTTTTTTTTTTTTTGTCATCTTTCCTGCGTTATTTTGGTTTGGTTTTTGTGTAGGTTTTGTTTGTTTGCTTGGTGGTTACTCTTTATTGAATTAGGAAGTTCCCTTCTATTCCTAGTCTGTCACAAATATACATTATATTTTAGCAAAAGCTTGTTGGGTAAACTGAGTTGAATGTATTTTTTTCTTTCTTAATCTGTTAATATGGTGATTTAGTTTAATAATTTTTCTGAAGTTAAAAAAATAATTTTTGAACTTGATTGAACTAATCTTGCTTTCTTGAAATAAACCCAACTTAGTTGCATTGGTTGATTTCTAACATTAAACCAACCTCACATTCCTCGGATAAATCCAGATTGGTCATCTCATATCAACTTTTTTTTTTTAAGATTTATTTATTTTAGAGAGCAAGAGAGAGCATGAGCAGGAGGGGCAGAGGGAGAGAGAGAATCTCGGGCAGACTCCATGCTGAGCGTGGAGCCCAACGTGGGGCTCTGTCTCACGACCATGAGATCACGACCTGAGCAGAAACCAAGAGTCAGACACTCGACCAACTGCACTACCCAGACACCCCTATCAGCTTTTTTATACACCAGTATTTTATTTAACATTTTTCCATTTATGGTCACGAATGAAATTAACCTAATTTTCCATTCTTTTCTAACAGCCCTTTTTTTCATTACATTTATTTCAAGTTTAACTTAAAAAAAAAAGAATAGAAAAGTAACAAGCATACTAAGAATACCTTTTTTTAGAAATACAAGTAAGAATATATTATTAAGAATTGTCTGGGTCACCAGGGTGACTCAGTCGGTTGAGCATCCAGCTCTTGATCTCAGCTCACTCATGATCTCAGGGTCATGAGTTCAAGCCCCGTGTTGGGCTCCATGCTGGGCATGGAGCCTACTTAAAAAAAAAAAAAAAATAGCACTGCTGGTTTAGTAAATCATGAGGTTTCAGGTAATACCCCTATTACATTGTATACTTTACTTACGCTGTGTTATATGTTAATTATATCTCAATAAAGCTGGGTAAAAAAAGATAACACCTCTATTAAAATGTAGGTGTGTTTCCTAATAAGGGAGGGGTTCGGGGGAGTGTAGTAAGGAACAGAAAAAACCCACAGAGATGAATTTATCAGATCCAACGACAGATCATGCTTTTTTGGGAATCAAGACTTTGGACAGGTTTTGATGAAGAGTTGAAGCTAGGAAGGATCTGAAGAGTAGGAGACTGTCTAAAGAGGGCATGCCTAAATAGAATTTAGTAGTAAGTAAAAGGCTGTGAGCAGACTCAACCAACATGAAGTCACAAATATTATCTCTCACGGGAGAAACTGAAAATATGCTTATCCTTAATTTTTGCTTAGGATGAGCCATAAATTTTGTGTTTCCATTAATGATCTTTTTATCTCTCAGTTCAAATCAACATCAAATAAGAACGTATCTGTGGTAGGATGGATGGTGATGATGGCTGATGACCCAGAACACCCAGATCTCTTCTTGCTGACTGACTCTGAGAAAGGTGAATCATTAGCATATCTAGGGTTTAAGGTATTGCGAGTACATAACGTTCAGTTGGTCCAAACATAGTTTAACTAGAATACTTGACCAGGAACATGTTTTTGTAGTTTTGTCTCTTGGGAAATAATTCTGTCTCATAATGTAGAGTAATGATATCAATATTTCTGGTATCAATATCTGTTATAAGCATATTTTCTTTGCTGCATGGGCATAAGCTTGAAATTAAAAGCCCAGGTAATCCTTAAGGAGCTAAGAACCAGGCAGAGAGGGAGGGAAGGAGGAACTGGAGAATCAGTTACTTTAAAGCCTCAGACATCTGCTATATATGTAGTACCCCTTCATCTATACCCTCAAATAAATTGTTATGCTTAAGTTCTGAATGTGGCAGAGGTTTTCCTCTAAATGATTTTTAGTCCATTATTTTTAATGAGGTTAATATGTTATTTAACTCCTATCGCTTTCCAAATAAGTATAATTCATAATGAATACTTTGCTTACAATATTGAGAGAGGCTTATGAAGGAAATGATTGACTCTTGACCAGTGGAGTTTTTTAAGTGGATCAGAGAAGTTGGAGGGTGGGCCGTGTAGAATCAGACCCTGTGTATCTCTAGTGGAGGCCGCAGGTGGCCGTCGGAACGCAGCCTGACATGATTGCTGCTCTTCCTGCATGTTGATAAGCACCTCAGAGGGAGCCAGACGGGAAATTCTTTCCTCTCTGCCCAGAATCTGCCACTGCAGCAACTCACCACCGAAATTCTGTTTATTGACTGTACAGTTATATTTTCACCTCTATTCAGAATGTATTTTATAGCAACAGATATTCCACTTTTAGGATATTACAGCATTTTAAGTGAAAACTTAAGCAAATATATTGGATACGGAAAAAAAATAATAGTAGGAAAATGTCTCATTTTGAGATGAACTAGATTGACTTACAGAGTAAGAACTCCCTGCTCAGCATTCTGAATTAGGAGTCCCTGTCCCAACCCCAAATCCCAAAGGCATTATTCATAAAATTACGTTTTAAGGAGATCATTTTCACTGGGCTTAGTTAACATTTTATTTTCTTTCAGTTTCCCTAGTGTAGCTTGATGGGACTCTTTCCAAGTAACCAAGGTTTTTGTAACATTTGTACAAATGGTCTTTCGGAGGGGGAGGAGAAAGTAGATAAATGGCAGCTATGGCCAGCTTAATTGTAGATACGCCTTCAATTCAGATTGCTCTAATGTCCACATCTGAGTTCAGTAAGTAAAACAGTATTATTTAACATGAAACATTGGTGACGAAACTGTTGCTTCTGAAAGTAAAAAAGTTCTCTGAGTGTTCCAGTCTCAAAGGAAAGCTCTGTCATGCCTAAAGAAAGGTCAGACTCTTGGGCTGTTGAATGCAGTTATAAAGGAGAGAGTAGAATTCGATACAAATTGGGAAATAAAAACTTAGGTCAATGAAAAAAGGGAATAAAGCTCAACTTAGGGCAGCCTTCAGTACATGAATCCTTTGTTTTTTCAGTTTATCACCTTAATACATACAACCATATAAGATTTATCTATTATGTGTCAATCTTGAATTAGTCAACATAAGTTCTAAATATACACAACACGGATGAGTTTCTAATTTTCTAAAAGAGGAATCAGTGAGTCTTTAGATTTTCCCAGAAATCCCTCAGTAGACCCAGAAATCCGTGATAATTTCAGCAAACGTAACTAACACCTAAAAGCATGGTTGATATTGATCCTTAATCATATTACATACCTAATGTTTAAATGTTAAACGTGTTAAAGCATTTTGCTCGTAAAAACTTAATATTAACATATTCTGTACTCAGTCCCACATACAAATCTAGGGGAGCCAAACGATTCTTTTATTTAAGTATACTTTCCTCTAAAGAATATTTAAGGAGACAAGAATACTTCTCTTCCAATTCATAAGCAGCAAAACGGTGACTTTCTGAATAAATGATACCATGTGAGCATAGCATTGAGAACTCTTCTTTTTATTCGTATTAGAAAATCAGGTGCTAGAGACAGAGAATTCTGAAACTGAGAATTCTAGTCATGTTTCATTTTGCTCTTTGATATATGACTGAATTATTATATGTCAGAGTCCTTAAAATTTTATCATTTTCCCCTTGTTTTTAATAACTTTAGGAAACTCATACAAGTTTCAAGCTGGCAACAGAATGAACGCGATGCTGTGGTTCAAGCATTTGAGCGCAGCTTGCCAAAGCAACAAGCAGCAGGTGAGCAGTGTCTCTCGGTCCTCAGGATGGTCCGTCGCTTGGGACTGTATTTAAAAGAGTTCCAAGGGAAGTAAACAGACTAATTTTATGAATGAAGAAGGAAAATTATACTGTTTTTATTCTTTTTCTTACAGCGGTCGGCAAGTATGAAGTCCACATTTTAGTGAGGAGATAGTCAATAAAATAATGAACAAATAAAATTTCAAATGCTGAAAACTATATACAGAACTATATATACATACATATATATGGAAAACAAAATAGAATTATGTGATACAGAGTGATGAGAGTAGACACAACTTTAAATAAATAAGAGTGGGCAGCAGAGATCTCCCCAAAGACATTGACGTGAGTGACAAGAAGGAACAGCCATGTGAAGATTAAGGTCTGCTGGAGGGCACAGCAAGTTCAAAGGTCCTGAAGCTGGAAGGAGCTTAAGGTGTTCAAAAGAGGCAAATGTTGCCCATGTCGGTAGAAAATAGTGAGAGGCAAAGAAATAGAGCTCCAGGGGCGTAAAACTTAGATGGCACTTTAATAAACATTATTCTGATTCATCGTTATTCTGTTAATAACCTGAGTAGGTTCCTGTGGTTGCAGCAAAACCCAGAGCCATTTGGATCTGTTTGTTTTTATTTCACTGAAACAAAGATGGTCTAATTCAAAGGCTTTCAGCTGCAGAGGAGAAATGAAGCCATGGTGTTGTTTTCCCCAAACCCTGTTGCAGATCTAAAGTTGAGCCACGGATTGGTAGAACAGACGTAAAATAAACATAACTGCAGTTATGGAAATATGTGTAGACTTTTTGTAGGCCAGTTTTTAGTTGAATATATTTGAAGACCATTGATTTCAGGTACTGAAATTCAGAAGTGTACAGTTAAGTGTTATCCGTAGCTAATTGTGAATAATACAATACACCATATAAGTTTATATCACTTATTAAAAGTATTTTTCACCCTGTGCTGTCAGGACCAGAGTTTTACCCCTTTTTTGATAAAGGAAGAAACTAGTCTCAGAAATGCTAAATGACCTACACAGGGTCAAACAAGCAAATGTCTTTATCTTTAGGTCCCTTCTTTTTAAATATTGTTAGAATAGGCTTTGTTCCCTTAGAATTTTTATTTCAAATATATATATGAAAGACTGATATCAGTATTTGGTATCATTTTTAGCACCCTCCACTAAGGGCATGAAACGCCATAGAACAGACTACTTTCTTGCCTTTGTCAAGTTAGGGCCTGGGACAGAGTGATTAGACTAAGCTTATGTGCAACTCAACTTACATTCTTTAAGTGTGCTTAAAGTATTGTCTTTTTTTTTTTTTAATCTCAGATTTCAAGATTAATCTAGACAGTGTATACATACCAACATAAAGGTGAACAAGTCAACCAAATGTGTATAAGTGGGTTTTATTTGTTTCTTTCTGTACTGGGAGAATCAGAGTAGTAGCAAATATATAAATAGAAGCTGTGAAATGTGAAAATTTTTGGTAGAAGCCTCTGATTCACTCAAGTATAATACCTTAAATCATATTCAAGGAACTTAGGAGGAAATGAACTTATACTTTATTTAAACATGGGTTTCTTATAACCAGACCTGAGAATTTATACTTTAAGCACTTGAGCATTTGTATTGTATTTGATTTATGATTCAATTATGATTGTATTATTAAAGATCTTTTCATTCAGAAGGTGACACATATAAGAGACTCCCCCTCCCCTTTTTCTTGAATATTCTAGGTTTTCAGAAAAAGATTACTAAAGTGATAGCTGTTAAGCTGTTTTAAAGGACAGAGAAATGACCACTGAAGTGAGAATATCTCTCCCAGCACAACTTCAGAAAACAGTAAGGGTTAAGAGTTTTTTTTTAACATGGTGAAACCCTCTTTAGTCCTTGTCTAGAGGACTCATCAGCTGATTTTCAAAAACAAAATATACTTATATTTCAAAGAATTCTTGTGGAATTTCTCCTCACTACAATGTGGACTTCATGTCTTATTGTTGATTTCTATAAGGAATCAAATTAAACTTGAACCAGTCTATAAGCCTCAAACTATTATATAACCTGTTGATTTTTCAGTCACCAAGTGTCAGATCAGAATTTATCTAACGATGAGTTTTATTCTTTCATACTTACTTTCATGATGATTTCACAAAGAAATTCTTAGTAATGTTCATTATAAAATTATCCATGCTGGATTTAAAAATGTGCATGTAGGAATTCCTGGTAAAACAGAGACTGAGAAAATAGACGATAAGTATGTTTGTCAGAGTGTCCCCCTAACTAGAGCCACACTTCTTTTCTTGTTCGTTTGCTCACTCAGCGGACATCTGCTGAGCACCCTGTGTTGGACAAGAAAGATACCGTCTCCGCCCTTTCTCCCATTCCAATTTCAGTTTTCTGGAAAGAGAGTATTAACTGATTTTCTCAAAAATGTTCTAGCATATTTTATTCATTATTCATAAATGATTGCAGTACCTTCTGGCAAATTACTTCTTTAAAAAGTATCTGGGCTTAAAATGATGAAGAAAGATAAGAAATAGTACTTTGAAAAGCAACTTTTAAATACTGTCAGTTTTGTACTGCTTATATTTTTAAGGTTCCTACAAACTTGATGACTTTTGAGTAGAAGCCTAAGAAAGAAGCGAGGTGAACTATCACCCCTAAGTGAGAGTGAGGAGGTGACGCGAGTGCCAGCTGAGCCAGTTCTGGGCCAGGAGGAGCCCAGAGGCTGCGTCTCAAGCCTTTGGAGTTCTGAACCAAAAAAAGCACTAATTTCAGGGAATGAAGTGAGATATTCCCAGAGAACACATTGGAGTCACTAAACAAACTGCCATGGACCGCGCTGCTTTTCTCTGAACTGACCTGCGGAAACCACTGCCTTAAACGAACGAAAGGAAAACCAACATGAAGCACCAAATAGTGTGTGTGCATCTTCTGGCGGTGCTGTGCTTGGAATAGATCGTAGCCCATTTGCGTTTCTTTTAACTTTGTACTAATTTTGGAGGGGGGAATCTCCTTTTTTTAGACACACTTTAAAAAGGAAAACATCTTTCTTATGAGTTATGTGAGGGGCTGGTGTAGAAAGGAGGTGTGAAGATGCTCCGCCTGCCCCGGGGGGCTTCTCCGCTCCCGGTCATCTGCAGCCTCCCTGGCTCTCCCACGGCAAGAGTTTCGGGATTAGACATGTTCATAATGTGAGTTGTTGGGGTTCGTTTGGGATTGGGGGCGGGGGTTGTTTCGAATGAGGGGAGATTTTTCTTAAACACTAAACTTCGGAAATTGAGTTCTGGGTGGGGAGCATCATTTCTTGCAGGAGGCATGAAGGCTGAGCGCTCCTATTCCAGACACTCTTTTCAAGTGGGCTCCAGAAAGCATGGTTGTTTTTAACTGGATTTAAAATTTAGCCTTCTATATGAATTCATTGTTGGACCACAGATCTGCTTAGGAAAGAACCGTAATCCCAACCTAAACTTTTCTGAGATTTTACAGTAATTACATTTTTTTTCAAGTGAATTGAATTATCCCTTCTACCAGTCTCTGGTGACTTTTGTCATCAAGATGATATACTGATACTTCATCAGGATATTTTCTCTTACAGTGTTTCATGTACACAATGCCAGTTATTTTTTTTATTACTCATTTTCGTTATTTTTGTTAAGTATGAGAGTCAGGATTACATTTGTTTAAAAGAGCTTCCGCATATGTATGTGTGTATGTATTTTATTATAAGTCACAGAAAATTTTAAAAGGGAAAAGGGTGAAAGATTGAGATTCTGGGAATCTTAAGTATCAAAACTTCCCTTCTTATGTAACTTTCCTTTATTACAAAACACTTTTCTGAAAACGTACTGTAGGTCCTGGCCATGAAACCATATTCTGTCAGTGGTAGACCAAGCTGTTTTGGGAGAGCTCTTCCATGCAACAGTGCGTTTAATTTCCAGAATAAATGTTGAATTGCAAGAAGAAAAAAAAAAAAAAGGTTTAAAGGTGAGCTGCCTTAGAGTTTTAACAAAAAATGGCACTTGAACAAAGACTGTGTGTTAGATGTTAGAAACTCATGGGGCATCCTATATTTTAGCAGTGGCCCAGAGGAAGAAACTCTTTTTGACTGATCTCTTCCAATAAACTTGTAATACTTCGGGCCTCACATAAAATTTCTTACATTTGCATTCTTAGAGAATTTCATACTTTTTTTTTAATCATCTTGAAGCCTTGAAACTTAAATAGAAAATATTGCTCACAGAATCATTAGCTAAAAGTCTATCCAAAGGAAAATAGAAGAGCTTTTGGAAAGGATGTTAAGAGTTCAGGTATTTTTCTCATATAGCACAGTTAGAAATACCATTATTTCTGGTTTTGTGGAAAGTGACATGGGCTGGAGAGGGCAAAATGCTGCCTGTGCTTAGTGATTTTTCAATTAATGATCTCCCAAGCTTAACCCACGTTGGGTACATAGACACCACCTGCGTCGCCAGCAGTATTACTATATAGACCTTGCACATCTTTCTTTTGTTTTACATCTTCTAAAATTCCTTAATTTGTGTATTTCTCTTCAGAAATAAGTGTTTTTAACAGTGTATGTGCTTTTTAAAAAATTCTGTGGATGAGAACCCTGTGGATTTTTTATTACTGTTTTGTTTGTCATAAATAAGCTAAAGTAGATACATTGTACCATATTTGAGGAGATTCGCAACTAGAAGTCAGAGCCTGACATCACAGTTTTGCCAAAGAGAGAGCTGAACTGGAAGATGTGTTTGATACTTCAGCTCTAACATTACGGGATACGTGCACAGGGAAAGAATAGTGTTCAAATTTGGTGAATAGTCCCTATGTAGAATTGTGGCCTCTGACTGAGCGAAACTCTTAACACAACTGTACAGTAGAAGTAGACATTGTTCTCTCTTCAAATCTGTCTATTCAAAAGATTAGACGTTGCTTTTGAAGATGATTTTAGCATTTGAAACAAATGGAAACCAGTGAGAGAAGTGAATTGAAATTGCATAGGTGAATTATTTGATCTGTAATTCACCAAATGATGTAATAATTCAAGCAAAGAAAATAGGTCACCAAAATATATTAAATATTTAGGTAGTTTATTAGTAGGAAGTTGAAATTTTTTCCTCTTATTAAGCTTATGCTTAATAAATTAGTAAATTAGTGACTCAAAAGCTTGAAATTTCTATCAATATTAAGCTCATTTGTTTCTCTCCTAGCCAAGAACAACTCATTAGCAATGCCATTATAATTTAAATTTAAGCTAGTTTATGAGAAGCATAAATATTGGCATTTATACGGCCTGGTGTAGTAGTATATAATACTAGCCAAAATACGGTTTGAGACACATCTCATTTATTTCAGTTTATTTGAACCTGGATGCTTATTTTTCATACAGAAGTAACATCAGTTTTAAAAATACACCTATAAAAAGAACTGCATAATAATGACCTTCAGAGCACTAGTTTTGGTTTCATGCCCCCTCTGTGTTTGGCCTTTGCTTTATTTTTTTCAAAGATACTGTTTTTACTGTAATCTCCAGACTATAAGAATTGAAAGAGAACTGATCAAACACACCTTTCTATAGCGTTTTCTTCACTATGTAAATATTATTTGTATAAACATTACAAAAAGGGATCCAAACAATTTGATTTTTTTTTTTTCTCCCTGGGTATGTGCTTCAAGGACAATTTGTTTTTCTGTGTAGAAAATGGCATATGTCAAGAGTTAGGGGATTCATCGCTCCCAGGTTTTTATAAGTGGCTTTATTCCTCTTCTAGAAATGCCTTCCAGAAGAGCCCAAGGAGCACTGTGGTTACAGAGGGGCAAATGGTCGCAGTCTGTGGTGTACGTACTCCACGGATTAGCTGAACCTGGGGGCCCTGGGATTACTAGAATATACCTGGCCACATGAGCTCGGAAGTCTTCTGAGCTTAAACCCGTAAGCTATACACCTTTCCAACTGAAAACAAAACTATAAGGCATTCATTGGAAATCCATAATAATAGTAGACTTCATCCATTAACTTTTTAAAAGAATATATCCACTGTTGATTTCTTTCTTGTTTTCTGAGGCACATTCCTTTCCACCCAGTCTTTAAACCACCATATTACCTCCTTGTGCCAACAAGGAGGAGCAGTGTTGCTTCCAAGAGATAATCTTTAATAAAAGAAATCCTCTGCTTCAGAGGCTTTTGAAATCCTTGGATCCCTTTTTGAAAGTGAAGATGAGCTCGCCCGGGGCCCCAGTGGAACCGTGGTGCTGCTGTTGCACAAGCAGACAGTACAGAGCACGTGGTGAGGTTTGCCTGGTCTTTTCAGTGACCTTCTAGGGCTTGCTTTCATTTTCTCTCTCCTTTTGTACTACTTTTTTCAAACATAGTAAATTTATGATTTTACAGCCAGAGTGGTATTCTGTTTTTTTCTAAGCTTCGAGATACACTGTTACTTAATCACATTGATGAGCATTATTTTCACGTGAAGTCAACCTTCTCAAAATGATCTAAGGAAGTCCTTTTTGGTCCTGCTCCCCTAAAAATGGCTTGTAACTAAAGTGACTCTTTTTTTTTCCATTTAGAGGATTCTGATGAAAGATCTGTGCGTGCAAACTCTTACAGTTATTGAAAGGAATTTCACTACACCAGTATCTCAAGTTGTAGTGTGGGGAAAATTTGGTCAGTGCCTTAACAATTTGAAGACCAATTTTAGGGCATTGAGTATGATGATAATCATTTGCCCTCTTACTCCTCTTATGTCAGGAGTGTGTGCTATCCTTCTCTCCACCAGCTTACTCTTTCTTACTCTTTGTCCCAGCAAGTGTAAGAGAGCACAGAGTCTACAGATAGCCTCCAGGTCATTGTTACAGCCCTCCCAGGTCCTGAGTCTGTTCAGACAAGCTCCCTCCCTGCTCCTCTTCTGCCGGGGTAGGAGATTAAAAATAAACCCACCCAGATCAACCTTTAGATGAGCATTTTTTAGAACAGTTTTGAAGAGCGTCCATCCAGCTGAGTTTGTTTTTATGTTGTGTTGTTGATGATGATGTTTTGAGCATCGATTTAATTATAAGGCCTTTCAGAAAATCCCTAAAAGAATACATTACAGCCAGAAAGATTTGTTGGGGTCTTATTAAAGCTGCTGAAATCTTGTAATGGGACTTGACCAAAAATGAGATTTAGATTGGTTCATTCTTATATTTAAGTAAGACTCAGAACAAACAGGCAGTCACTTAACCTACCAGATACTGTTTCCTTGGAAATATTATGGAAGGAAAGTGAAAACAACTCCAATATATAAATTTTGAGGGAAGCTAAGAGACTACACTAGCTTTCTTAGTCAAAACAAAACTTGGAAACATTTTGCTTCTCTGAGACCCTTGCAAGATCTGAAACTACTGTTCAACTGAGTCAGGATGCTATTTTCACATTTTTTAAGGGCCAGTATGTTCCAGAATAGGGAAGTAGACTTAGTCTTTAAAGCCAAATGAAGGGTTGACTGATCCTTGAGGGTTATTAGCAGAATTTAAATATTCCTTCTAGTCATTTGGCCTGCAAAATGGTGATGGAATTAAAGGAATGGAATGCATAGAGTGCTTTGAAAGGATTGAACTTTTTTTTTTAATAGACCAGCTGAAAATTTCATAAGTATTACCTGTGCTTTTTAGATACCAGGTAACAAGTATTCAGTTTCCCCTAAAGATAACATCACCTATTAGGACTATTCACAAATATAGTCCAATAACTATTGACTTACCAGGTCTGACACAGTAGCTGATTTATTATGTCACCAGACTCTCAAAGAGTTTCTATATCTTAATCACTGACAAATTTACTGTTTTACAGCCCACTGAAGTGTGTATGTGTGGGGAGGTGGTGGGGAACTCGTTCACAAGATAATCTAAAGGAGATAAACATCTGTGGGGGTAAATATCCAATGATGATAATATACAGGAAAACACAAGCCATTTTTCTTCTTCTTTATCCCAGTTAACCTGAGGTACTCTAATGATGAAGCACTCAATTGCACTATGACCTCCCTGAGTGATGTGCAGCTTGTTCCTCTCTCACTTATTATTTCTGTGTAATATGCAAATGTGAGTGTGAGATCTTCAGTGTGTTTGCATAAGCTAACTTAAAATGAATTTAAGTACAGTTTTCTGAAATATTTCTATTGAAATAAATTACTTAACAATACAGATTGCGTGGGGATGATTTGTTGCCATATTTACGTTTTTATCATTAACTTTTAAATAAGTGCTCTAACTTGATCTTTTTCTCATTCTAAACTAGTGGACAAGGTTTTTGTTGGCACAGGAAGCTTCTTTCTGGGTACACTTCAGTTGCTCTTCCCTGTCCTGGATCGAGGATGTGCTCTGGCATGGTGACTGATGGGGTCTGGAGGAATAGGAGTCATGGGCCCAGTATTTCCAACTTCATCTCCCCACTCCCAAGTATATGGTGTGATAAGAGCAGTCCCCAAAGAGGCCTTCTTTGCTAATATGTACTGTATTTCGTAGATTCTAAGACATGACATTAAATTGTAAGAAGTACAGAAATAGCTGTGTTGAGTCTCCTCCTATAAGTCGTTGGCTGAGGTGTTGGTTATGCCCTAAGAATTCCACATGAGCTTGCCTCTAAGAACTGGTTTTCAACAGTTTTCTCACCTCTCTAACGGCCTTTGAAAATTTCAGTGTCCCTATATTGGAACCAAAAGAGAGTGACAATTCTCCGATGGGGTCAACCTGTCTTTACTTCACACAACGCCATCTTTGTCTGGCGGGAGCTTTCCATAGGTGCATGCTCAGTTTCTGGGTTCCCTTTTCTCTTTCATTAGTAGTTTGTCTTTGAGCCAGGACAAGCATATTTGCACTTCAAAGATACCGTATTTTTTACAAACCAAAGGTTTGTGGCAACCCTGCTTCGCACACGTTCGTCGGCGCCATTTTTGCAACAGTACTTGCTCACTTTGTGTGTGTGTCACATTTTGGTAATTCAGTATTTCAGATTTTTTCATTATTACTGTGTTTGTTGTAGTGATACGTGATCAGTGATCTTTGCTATTACTGTAATGTTAGAGGGCGCCACAAGCTGCACCCATGTATAAGATGACAGTTCAGCAAATGGGTGTGTGTTCTGAATGCTCCACCAACTGGCCATTCCTCCATCTCTCCCTCTCCTTGGGCCTCCCTGTCCCTGAGACACAAATATTGAAATTAAGCCAGTTAATAACCCTACAGTGGCCTCTCTCTGTTCAAGTGAAGGGAAGAGTTGTAGGTTTCTCACTTTAAATTAAAAGCTAGAAATGAGCTTAGTCAAAAAGCCAAGATAGGCTAAAAGGTAGGCCTGTTTCACCAAACAGTTGGCCAAGTTGTGAATGCAAAAGGGAAGTTCTCAAAATTAAAAATGCTACTTCAGTGAACGCACAAATGATAAAAAAGCAGAACAGCTTTATGGCTGAGATGGAGAAAAGAAGACAAAACAATCACAGCATTCCCTTAAACCAAAGCCTGTTGAGGAGCAAGGCCCTAACTCTCTTCAATTCTATGAAGACAGAGAGGTGGGGAAGCCTCAGAAGAAAGTTGGAAGCTAGCAGAGGTTCATTTATGAGGTTTAAGGAAAGAAGCTGTCTCCATAACACAAAAGTGCAAGGTGAGGCAGCAAGTTATCCAGAAGATCGAGCTAAGACACAATGTAGGTAAAACAGCCTTATATTGGAAGAGGATGTCATCTGGGACTTCAATAGCTGGAGGAGTCAATGCCTGACTTCTGAGGAAGGCTGGCTCTCTGGCCAAGGGCTCACGCAGCTGGTGACTAAGTTGGAGCCAGTGCTCATTTCCCATTCCGAAAACCCTAATGCTCTAGAAATGGGACAAAACCTGGATGACAGCACCTCTGTTTACTGAGTATTTTAAGCCCACTGTTGAGACCTACTGCTCAGAAAAATAGATAGATAAATAGATACTGCTCACTGACAATGCACCTGCTCACCCAAGAGCTCTGATGGAGGTGGACAAGATTCATGTTGCTTTCATGCCTGCTGACACCACACTCATTCTGTAGTCGGTGGATCAAGGAGTAATTTTGGCTTCTAAGTCTTATTTTTTAAGAAATACATTTTGTGGGGCACCTGGCTGGTTCTGACTCTTGATCTCGGGGTTGTGAGTTGGAGCCCCACACTGGGCATAGAGATTACTTAAACATAAAATCTTTAAAAAAAATCCGTTTCGTAAGGCTATAGCAGAACACATAGTGGTTCTTCAGATGGATTTGGGCAAAGTAAATTGAAAACCTTCTGGAAAAGATTCACCGTTCTAGAAGTCATTGAGAATACTCAGGGTTCGTGAGAAGAAGTCCAAATAGCAACATGAATAGGAGTTTGGAAGAAGTTGATTCTGACCCTCATGGATGCCTTTGAAGGGTTCAGGACTTCAGGGGAGGAAGTGACTGCTGAGCTGGTGGAAATACCAAAAGAACTAGAAGTGAAGAAAGTGGTTTCTTGAGATGGGATCTACTTCTGGTGAAGATGCCATGATGATTATTGAAATGACTACAAAGAATTTAGAATATGACATAAACTTAATTGACAAAGCAATGGCAGGGTTTGAGAGGATTGACTCTAATTTTGAAAGAAGTCCTATGGATAAAACACCACCAAACAGCATTGCGTGCTACCGAGTAATTGAAAGAGTCCATTGATGTGGCAAACTTCATTGTCCTATCTTAAAAATTGCCAGAGTCGACCCAGCCTTCAGCAAACCACCACCGTGATCAGTCAGCAGCCATCAACATTGAGGCAAAACTCTCCACCAGCAAAAAAAAAAAAAAAAAAAAACTCGCTGAAAGCTCAGATGATGGTTAGCATTTTTTAGCCATGAAGTATTTTTTAATTAAGATATGTACATTGGTTTTTTAGACATAATGCTGTTGCACACTTAATATATTACAATATCGTAGACAATTTCTATATGCACTGGGAAACCAAAAAAGTCATTTGACTCTGTTTATTGCGGGGGTCTGGAATCAAACCCACAGTATCTCCAATGCCATATTGTTCTCCAAATCTGCCTTAGCTGTCCTAACTCGTCTTCTCTATGAATTCTAGGATCAATGTGTCAAGATCAGTGAAAACACTGTTGGTATTCTTACTGAAATTGCTTTGAATTTATAGAATTAATTTGAGAATTAACAGTTTTTAAACATTTATTCCCCTTACGAAATAGCTCTGCATTCATTTTTAAGACTTACATCCATTACCTTATTGAACTCCCTTATCTTGTTCTAATGGTTTGTCCAGTATGATCCTGTTGTCATATTAGCTGTAAATAAGGTGACAGATTGGGAGAAAATATTTGGAGCTTATAAAACAAAGGATTCATATCAAGAACATGCAAGGAATTTTTGCGAGTCGGTAAGAAAATGTATTTGGTAGAAAAATGTGCTAAAGGATATGAATAGTTTATAGAAGGAAGCCCATGTGGCTAACCTATGAAAAGATGTTCAACCTCACTAATAGAGAAATGCAAAGTAAATCACCAGGGAGGTGTCACATTGTATCTGTCAAACTGGTGAAAAATAGGCAGATAATGCCAGTTATGGTGAGGCCAGGAAAAATCAGAATGGTCAGGCATGTGGGTAAGAGTATAAGCTGGTGGAACCATGCCAGCCATCTTGTGGACAATATTAGGGAACTTGTATTTATATAGAGCAATCCAACTCTGCATGACCTTGAGCAAGCGATTCAACCTTCTTAAGTTCTTCACGTGTAAAATGGATGCAATAGCAGAACCCACAGAGTTGTGAGGCTAAGCTTCACTGGTGCACCTCAGGCCCCTGGAGCAGGGCTACCTGGCCCGTAGGCAGCACGGGCAGTGTTGGGAGTTGGTGTCCCTGTCACACAGTCTGTAACCTGCCCGCTCTGCTCCTCGAGTCAGGTGCAAGGAGTGGGATTAGGGAGGAAGGGGACGATTTAAATAGAACAAGAGAGGGGTCTTTGCTTAGTTAAGTCATAGTGAACTGAGAAGTATCTTCTTGTAAACCTGAAACCCAATAAATAAGCCAGGTGCATTCATCATAGACAAACTGGCAAGTAGAGAAAAACATGAAGAAAAGCCACCCATAAAAGAACCCCGTTGATCATTGTTGATTACTAAGACCAGTATTGTACCCACCTCAGCGCTTATTTAAAACAGTGACAAAATTTAATTTAAATTAAAACCATGACTTGTGAATACCACCCCAGATGGGTTAAGTCAGAATCTGAGGCAGGCGCCTGGTACACACTACAGCTTGAACTTGCAGTGGGTTCATCTGCCCACGGCCCAGTCGCTGAAGCTGCCATGTTACTGCCTAATTGTCAGGGTTTTTGTCCCGTTTAGGTTCAGAAACTATTAGCATCTATATATTAAGCTATTGTAGAAGAAAGACCAGCAAGCTGCTGTTTTTATTTCCAGAAACTCTTCTGAGATTTTAAAATAAAAACGGAACCCTGTGCCTTTAGTTGTGGCAGAAAAACCTGGAGATTCACTGTGAATCCTTGGATGAACCTCCGCCAACCAGTAAGTCCTGGAGCAGTCATGTTTCATGATCTTATAGAACATATATCATTAACAAATCTTAACCACACAAATACAGGATTAGAACGTCTATTTTAAGTGACTGTATTTTGAGTGTGGTCGTATCTCACTGGATGTTGGGGATAGATGACCTAAGAGACAGTTCAGGGTGTGGCCTGGCGCAGTTTGCATGGAGACCTTTGATTCTAGCCTAACTTGCTATAATACAGCTAATGAAGTTCTAGGGCTCTTTGCAAATCAAGGTAATTTACTGCACTTGAGTTACAGAAATTGTAGTGATTCCTTAGTTTTACTAAATTAAAACTGATTCCCCTCTTATAGCAATACTCGTTTCTAGTTTCATGGTTTTCCTTCTTTAAGAAGAGGCTTATTTTCTGTTTTCATATTGGTTAAAATAGTCCGTGGATGCCCTTTGTTCTCTGAGCTGACTGGGGGCAGGAGGGCCTTCTGCATTAAAGGGACTTTCGTAGGGACCTTTCCTGTTCCTGAAGGGGACTTGAGGCTCTCTGTTCCAGTTTAAGCTTATTTTATCTGCTCTGTCTATCTGAACTCAAGGAAAAGGGAAAAGGACAGTTAAGGGAACATATCAAATGTTGAGTGTTTCATAACATAGTGAGCTGT